GGGGGTGCACAGAGGGGAAGGGCTCTACCCAAGCAGTTTTCAGACATTCTCCTATACATTGTCAGGGAAAAGATTTGGGACTGTAATCTACTTTTTTCCTCTTAAGAGCAGAAGGAATACTAGCAGCCAGTCATTGGACTATCCTTGTTAGTACTTGCACCCTGGCAACCGTCAGGTGAGTCAGGTGAAGTCTCAAAGGCTGCTGTAATGCCGTTCTTGGAACTTCATTTCTTCTAACTTTGGTTAATGAGAGAGGATCTGCAAATCATCATTACAGGCTTCCTCTCATATTTGTTGTATAAAGCAGGTAAACATTTTGTTGCTAGTAAAATGATCCTCAACAAATACCACAGCTTTGGATTTGGGAAGTTTTGAAGTGGACAGAAGCATGAAGGAAGTGTTAGCGTAAGGACTGACACATAACCACCGGAATGGTTATATGAGGTGCTTTATTGCAGCGCTGGGAAACCAGGGGCACGCGCTCAAATCTGGCTTCGGTCTCGTCACATCGCGTTCGCAATTTATACATATTCAATATAGATTGCATCATTAACTAATACATATGCATTAAGGATTGCCACATCAGTCTATTATGACATCAGCCTCTTCTGCGCTTGCGCAACCCCCCTCTGGTGGTCGTCCTGATGAAGTAAGGAGTCTTCCTCAGATGAAGTAAGAAGTCTTCCTCGGCTTGTTCTTTTCACCTTTTTGTCCTCTGGACATATCCCAGCCATTATGTGGACACCAGCATTATTCTATTTTCCCTTGACTACCTCTGGTAATTTCTAGGTTCTGCTTGGATAGAATTTCACAATATATCTTTCTAAATTCACCCATACACCCTTCACCATATATGGTCATATGAGCTCTTGCTACCAAGACTACCATTGTATCACTGGTTACAGGTTAACCACGACACCGGACTGCAGACAGAACTGCAAAATTATAGCTCTTTCTACTCTACAAAATCACACTATTGATTTATAAACTTCTTAAACATAATTGTTCCTACCATTTTATATGATTATTTATCTTAAAAACTTCACTCTTTTCTAACAGTTGGACCTTACTGGTAAGAGAGTGAAAGTAAGAGAATATCAGTCTTGGGAGAGGGCCTGACAAAAATAGTAGGGACTAAGACCTATAAGATCTACAACACTAAATTTGAAGAAGCACATAGGGGACCTAAGTTTCAGAAGGTTCAGTGTTCCTGTAGGCAAAGGGAAAATCAATGAAACTGCCTTCTGAAGGCTGAAACAGAGTTAAAGAGATGGGCTTTGGGGATAGAAGCTTGGTGAGAAATTAGCAATGTTGGGGTTAGAAGGAGAAGTTGTCTGTGGGTGTAGGGTCACACAGGCTGCTAAGAATGTAAGGAATGGGAGATAGGAAGGGAAAGAATATATAGAGAGATAATAGTCTGGACGAGAGGAAAAGGGTAGGCATAAGAAGAGGGCTGGGGCTAGAACCTTGGTAATAATATGGAGGTGGATAACTACACTCAAAGCAAAACAGGTGGCTGATGACAGAAGGTGGTGAAGCTACATAACAGCATCTCCTCCAGCGTGAAACAGCATTGAGCTATCTTGGTCAGTGCAACAGCACAGTAGGCTCTCACCAGTGTGTAAGCAGAAGTGTGTTCTTTCTCTATACATCAAAGTGCTGGCTGAAGACAAACATCTTTCCTCAAAGGGGTTATTGGCTGCAGCATCAGCTCCTCTCAGTGCCTGCAGGCACAAGTTCAGGCACTGGACAAGCCACAGCCAAACATATCATTGAGCATGCTGGGAAGACAGCTACACATAGAGCAGTCCTTTTTGCAACAGGCTGGATTGTATTACAGTTAAAAATTAATTCCCATGGAAATTAAATATTGAAACAATCATGATAAGGTTAATAAAGCTTTAGCAAAGAAAAGCCTATCAGCTGATATGGTGAGCCATCTGAGGTTACAATAGCTTTGAGGAATGGATGGAATGAACTTCAGACTTCATCTTGCCTGGTTTTGAGCAAAATGATTCCCAAAATGTTTTCCAGAATATCAGTGGGTTTTTATTTTTCATTCATCTCTCAGGTTTATTCTGTATAATTTCTCATTCAAAGGTGCTACCAAAAGCCATAGTTTGATGCTGTTGGTATACTCACCAGCAGTGAGTTTGTTCATAGGCTGAATGGGCAGAAAAAGTATCCCTTCAAAAATTTGCTTTCTGAAACAAGTTCAAAGACCTAAAGGCAAAGAAGGGGTGGAAGGCAGAGCTGAAGGGATGAACGGGAGTGAGACTGTCCCCTTGGGAAGCAGCTGCTCAGATTTCCTAAGTGCATTGTCAAATACCACATCCTGAGGGATGGCTCTCCTCTCTATGACTGGATGTAGACTTAAAGATCACTTAGGAGATTTGGAGGATTTACATGGCATTAAACTGATGATCTGTGTGGTCTGCAGTGAAAGCATAAAATTACGATATATACTGTCCAAGACAGCATTTTCTGCTGTCTATGAAGTTTTCAAACCGAGGGTAAGCACCCTTGCTTACCTTCTGGGTTTGTGTAGGGATTTTTTATCTGTTGGGGCAGCTTTGTGCTTAAGCCTCCCACTGTTGCATTATCTCCAGAGCAAGGAACTGAAACTCCTCACTTAATTAACTTTCTGGGGTTTGAGGCAAAATTTAGAGCTTTGCACCTGAGAACGTGTCAAGCTATTTGAGGGGCAATATGTTGAGAAGTCCCCCACCAACAGATATCTTTGTTCCTGCTCTTGCAGCACTTGACCCACTTGTATCAATACAAGCAATTAATGAAAATTAGTAGGATGTGTGACTCCATAGTATAAAAGACAAGGAGTTTTAGCACATTGCAACTGCAAGAAATGTGGTTTCAGGAATGCTTTTATCTACTTGAGACTACTAGAGTGTATGTCTGTTCACTGTGTTCAATGGGACATCCTTCTTGGGCCAGCACAGAGGTGTCTGGGATGGTTGCTGATATTCATTTTAGGTGTCCCCTGGGTGACTTTTTCAAATACAGTTTTGTAAGCTGTCCACTCCAAGGTAAATTCTTGGGAGCCATTTTTATGGTTGGCTTTCCTTGTAATTGCGTATTTATAAGGATGAGAAAGATTTGTATCTCTAAGAGCTACATCATTTGTCACTTGACACAGTTGCATTGCCTTCTGTCTTTTGAGGGTTTTTTTACATCTTGTTTTGTAGTTTGTTTGGTTTAGAGATGTCCAATGCTATTATGCTTAATATGTATTTTGAAAATGAGAAAAGCAGATATATTTAGTATTTTAGATGACTGCTCATGTATAGCAAATGGTTAACATTATAGAAGAAACAGCTAGAGTACTGTATTTTCATATTCTCTCTTAATTTCTGCAGGTTTTAATCTGAGAGTAGTTTCTGCTGTTAGACTGTGACTCAACCAATGTCATGTGTATATGTCGGAAAGTTTGGATCCAGCCAGTTCTCTTAAGTGTTAGAGTCCATTTTTATTGAAAAGTATTAAGATAATTGTTCTTCAGTTAATGCAGATTCATTCTGGGCTTTTTTCAAAAGATGCAGATGCATCTTGTTGGTAGCAGAGGACAGGATTTTTGAAACATTGCAATTGTTAGAGCAGTGTCAGGAACGTGATCTCTTCTTAGCCATCCTACACACCAAGAGTTGTTATTAAAGGAACACCAAATGCTGTGGTAGTTTTTTCCTAGAGAAATAGCAAGAACACCCTTTCCAGGGCATATTAAGTTAGTGAAGATCTGTTCAACTGACGTCTTATGCCTCTTTGTTTTCTTAGTGTATATGGATTCTTTGTTAATGTTTTATCACCCAAAACCCAGTAGCATCTCTAAAGTCATGCTATTTTTAGGTTTCACAGAAAGTAGTCCATAAATTTCTTAAATGTTTGTGGGAAATAAACATAAAGGAGATTTCTCGTTACCTTTTGTTAGATGTCTTTCTGGTTGGCTTCAGCAAGTGAAATGTATAATACAGGCCTATAAATGTGTGACTATAACTACATACTCCTAGAAAGTTCTGAGCCTGAGAACATCAAGCAACAGGGGGCTTTTTATGTGGCTTCATACAGTGCATTTAGTTAATTTACTTCATACATGGTTTGGCTTAGGTACGCATGTACTCCTATAGTGCTGTCTCCCTGGCTGGTTTCCTGTCAAATCTGGTTTCGCAGCCTGGGTGAACATACCCTGAAAACACAGTTACACCTGAAATCAAAATACTAAATAGGGGGAAACCAAGAATTAGTTGGTTTTTCAGTGTTAACTGTATGTAATATTCAGTATTGTCTTTGGCAGATACTCTTATTTGAAAGCGTGCTGAGTCAATATTAAGTCAGTATTTTAAGGAATCAGAAAATACCAAATTGTTTCTCGCTCTTTCCCACTGCGGGCCAAGCTGATTTCAGATACCTCTGTCTCGTAGCGTCCTGGCAAGTGTTCCAGTAAATTCTATCATATTTATGCTGTGTAGAAACTGTCTACCCCTTAAAAATTCTACATTGATCTCCACTGGAGAAAGATATTTTTAGTAGCTGTCAGTGAAAGGCTGAATTCCCTAGAAGTCATCAATAAATACAGAACTGTTTGCAGTGGTGTGCTGTAGCTGGCTTTTTCAGATAGATTTACTATAATATGCTCAGACCTCTTAAAATATGATCTCAGATAGCTTTTAAATTACATACGTAGCATTGCCAGATAATATTGCTTTATGATGAAGTTTGGTGAGAACGTTTTCCACCCTTTTATGATGCAAGGCTTGATCTTGCATGATGCAAAGTTACCTGATAGGGTGTAGCTTGTGCACGAGTGAGCTAGAATGGAGTATATGAACCAGGCAGACCCATGAATAAGCTAGACCTACTGACCTTGGTATTAGTCTTGAGCAAGTGTGCAAGTGCTGATGTGGGATTAGAATGCCCAGAAGACCTGGGCTGATGAGTATCAGCCAATAGCGCAGAAGAAGAAAGGTAGCATTGCCCTCAGAAAAAGTTCACTTTTTCTACTTCTTTTGCTTCCAGGTCCTACTTAGACATGTATAAGGTGATAATATTTAGCTACCTCTTCTGGTTTGTGCTTACTATAATCTTCATAACGGGAACCACGAGGATCAGCATATTCTGTATGGGTTACTTGGTAGCCTGCTTTTATTTCCTTCTCTTTGGTGGAGATCTGTTGCTGAAGCCCATCAGGAGTATTCTGCGTTACTGGGACTGGCTGATTGCCTACAATGTCTTTGTGATCACAATGAAGAACATCCTCTCAGTAAGTAGATGATGCCTTTCCTCTTCCCTCAGCACTCTGGTTTCATTGGAAGTGTGCATAGTGCATTGAGTGATCATTAAAAATCCTTTTCAGGACCACAGCCTTCTCAAGCACAAAGCAGGCTCCATTTTAATTCAGAAAATGCAAGTGCTTATCCAGGGAATGGTAATGCATGTACATTACAGGAAGATAATGCATACGGGTATGCAGCTGAGCTCTGTGAAAACTCTCAAGCTATTTTCAAAGGCCCATGTTCTGCTTTCTTTGCCTAGTAAAGTCTCTCCTTAGGAGCTTTGTGAAAATCTCAGTGGAGTGAGAAATGAGTAAGAAGTACAAGATTAGTCATACCATTGATAAATAATGCACATTTAATTAAGCCTTTTATTTGAAACTGGAATGTTCAAACCTCAGACTAGGTACAGTTGTCTTTTGATGTAATGTAATTAGTGAAGTTGACAACAGAATTACAAGCTGCATTCCCGTTTCCACAAAATAGTCAAGGTTTGCTTATATAAACTAGCTTTTTAGAGCAGATTCTTGCAGTAGCACTGATAGGTGATTGAGACAAGCCAGTAATTTAAATATTTTTGAAAGACAAATTTAGATTTATTCCTGGCAATTGCTTTTTAGCTTTGAACATTTTTAGTGCTGGACTGAAAAGAGCAGACATTTTTCTTTTTACATTTATATAAGTCACTGTATTGAATAAAATTGATTTATGGGTAGTTTGAATTTGCAACTGTTCTGAGTGGTTACATATGTGCTTCATTTTATGCTTGGGAACTCAGTGGAGCCATGCGTGTGTTAAGTTTGTCCATGTACGTTTGCAAGATCAAGTCAGTGATTTATAAAAGTTGCTTAGCTGTCACATCACATCACGTGCCAGACATATCACTTTCTCTGCAAAAATACAAACAAAACTCACATACCTATCTCACTGATAATTGAAAAGCCAGATTCTTGCTGTCTAAAAGTGATGTGTGTCACGGGTAAAGGCACTCTTTCTTCTAATCTCTGTTTTAATAAGGAGATATAATACAGCCAAGGGTGGTCACAATATTCTCATGTAATGGAAAGAGGTGCAACTTTTCTTATCTTCATTTCTGCTCTGTCTTGTTACATGAAATTATTCTTCTACTTTACAGATAGGAGCATGTGGCTACATTGAATCATTAATTAAGAATAGTTGCTGGTTGATTCAGGCATTTAGCCTGGCTTGTACAGTTAAAGGCTACCGTATTCGTAAGTATAGCTCATTTTTTGTTATAATTTTCTATAAATAATCACCTTCAAAATCTCCTACAATATTTAAGTCATGCCCCCTCCTAATGTGCTACGTTGGGAAAAAAACATACCTGTAAGTTCAGTTAATACAGCTTCATCCTCCATTTAATAGCAACACAAAATATTGAAAATAGTTATGGAACCAAGTGGGATACATACGCAGAGAAAACTGTGAGCACCCCCAAACACATACCCACAAGCAGCATTTCCTGTAAATGGGCAATTTGGTGATACAGATGCTTGAGGCAGTTTCCCTGCATATGCAGGAGATGTGATAATTAAGGGTATAGTTTCACTGTACATCTTGAGCTAAAATTTCAGCTCACCATCACTGAAAGGAGAGGGCACCTTTTCCCGTCTGCAGAGTCCCACTCCTCCTTGTGTGCCAGGTTCACTTGCTCAAAAGGTAAACCAGTTCAGCTCACTGAAATGGCAGGGGCTAAACCAGCATAAAAGTGGTAATTTTTTGCATGCATAGTGAGTTAAGGCAATTTTTTTTGGAGTGGATAGTCTATGTGGATGGAGGTGAGAGGATGGAAGAACGAGGGATGGAGAGAAAGACACTTCACGTCTTAGTGAGATATTAACTTGGTTTCATTTTGTCCTTACACCCTAGATTGGCAATTAGAAAACACCTGGGGGGGATGGGAGTGGGTGTTAGGGTTTTTTATTGAATTTAAAGAACAGCTTCATCCTAGTGAGTCTGCAGACTTGTCTTCATATCTGATCCTAATAGATAAGTGGGGAGTAGGGGAAAAGAAAGGAAATACAAAGACACAAATTCATAAGATAAATGGTGCCCTGTAGTTCTTGTAATATCTAAAACATTTTGAGCATCAACAGAAACTTAGACACAGGTTTCTGACTCCCCAGAGGATGGACAGAGCAGGCTTTGAAGCTCTTGGAGCTTGACCTTCTAGACCTATTACACTGGCTTGCTTGATTGTAAAGCCAGCTTCGAGCCAGAGTCTGTCCCTTGAGTCCTTCTACTCCTTTCTATAGGGCAGCATAGGCCATTTGGTTTATAGTCTAGGTCCACAAACCAACTTTTAATTCTTTGATATTCCCAAGAGAACTGTCTTTTAGAGAAGAAAAAAAGGAAGGAAGGAAGAAAGAAATAGCCCAAGCCAAAATCTAGAGGTAGGAGGAATGAGATTTTCTCTCTGCTTGTCTCATTCTACCCCAAAGGAAGTAGTTTTGTGGTTTCAAATATTTTTTCTCTTATGCAATGGAAAGAAACATTTAAATAGTTGCAGAAAGGAAAAATAAAAATACTAGGTGATGGCAGTCAAAAAATTATTTTGACAAAAATAAACACCTTTTTTCCTCGTGTTGATGGTATTTTTAATAGGAAAATGAGACAAATAGTAACTTGAAATAAAAAAAAAGAAACAGAGACATGCCATTTTAGAAAGTACTGAAATCAAATATTTCAAGCTAACAAAAAATACTCTTCTCCCATTCTTTGTTTTCAAGTACTTATTAAGATAGGGTGAGTTTCTTTGCTCATGGTTCACTTTTGGGGAATTCTCAATTGTTGTGAGATATCTCATTGTTGGAAGTTTTCCCGGTTCCTCTAAAAGAAAATACAGTGTACTTCAGTTGGAAATGCATGGCAGTTGTCTTATGAAAAATCTAATTAAAGTACTTCAAATAATTTTAAAGGCTAAGATTATTTAATTGATTAAACATTATAAAAGAATACTTAATACAACAGTCCTATGCTAATGTTACCTTTTCCCAGCAACCAACAACCTAGATTGTAAGCTTCCCAGCGGAGAGGCAGGAATCATTTGGGACAGTATATGTTTTGCTTTCCTGCTACTGCAAAGAAGAGTCTTCATGAGTTACTACTTCCTGCATGTGGTTGCAGATATAAAAGCTTCTCAGATCCTAGCATCAAGGTAACATAAAGTTTTAAAAAGTTAAACAGCTCAAGTCTGTCATGGCTATGGTACATACTTGTTTACAACAGGTAGTTCCAAATGAGTCCTTTAACGTTGGTTTAAACAATACATGCTAAATTCATAATTGCAAAGCCAAATCTGACTAAGCACACATGAGAAAACAAATTAATTGAGAACCTGATAGAAATGAAACCATCTTTCCTACGAAATACCCATTTGATACTCTTATTAAAAGCTGTGAAAGTTGATGTATGTTGCATCATTCTCTCAACATCAATATGTATAGGAGCAAACGCTGAGTTTCTAAGCTTTGGAAAGAAAACACTCTACTATCAGAGCCTGTTTGAGACAATGGGTCTTAGAAATCATGACTACATGAGGAAAAAGTACAGGTAAATTATGACATCTGGCTAGGGAAGAACTTCAGGAAGACACTTGGAAAGGGTAACATCACTGAACACTGAAGTATCACCCTCTTTGGGCCTATTACACTTTCCCACAAGCATCCACTCACAGCTATGACTCACAGCACAACCATTTTCTGGTTTTCAATGAGAAGGCAGATCAGGAACTAAATTCTGGTCTTAATTTCAGTGAGATTTCTAAGGAATTATTTTTGTCAATTTGGATTAAATGTATTGGTTTGGATTTAGACAGCATGGTCTAAGCTTGTATTTTAGTTAAAATTAATATCATGAAATACAAATTCCTCTCCTAAATATGGTTAAATTGTGATCTGAACAATAACAAAGAGGATGCTGTGAGTTTTAAACAGTCCATAAGAATGAAAGAGTGATCAAGTTGCTATGTCATGCCTTGTACTTTGCCATATTTTGGGACAATAATGATTACCACTATTGATTATATTCCTTTGAAAAAATGTAGTTGTGGTTATCCTGCATATTACATGGAAGAGTCATTAATTTTGAAGAAAACATGGTTGAAAAATTAATTAGAAGTTAACTTCAGAATCTATAGCTGTTCTATACTGTATTCCTGACAAAAGAACGGCTTCAAGTCAGTGCTGCTTATTTGAGATAGGCTCTCTTTTAGAGTCTTCAAGAGCCAATGAGTGAATGAGAAGGAACAGCCAAGACTTGTGATCTGGGCATGCAAATCAATGAGTTGGTTAAATTTCTAATGAAATTGAGTTAGAAGCTGTATTCTTTTGGCACATGAGAAACTTGCTCAAGGATTTGTGTCATCAGATTGAAAGCACTGGAGTGTTCACAGAGTAAAAGTGAAGCTGAAATTCATTGTGGCCCTGTATAAAACTGGACTTCGATCACAACTTCCACAGCTGCTGGGGCAGGGAGACAAGGTGACTGACTATAAATGAAATGCCTGTAACCACCGAATGACTATAAAGGCCACATCCTGGAGGTGTGGAAGAAGTCATACCTCACCCTTGAGCTTACTTACGTTTTGTGTTTTTAAGGGTTGGAAACTGAATTCCTTGAGCAGCTTCTAGAGGCCGTATAGGGGTCACAACGTTTAGCCCCAGATCTTGAAGTGATTGACTGGAAAGATATTTGAATTATGGAGTAAATGATAACTTCTTTCAGGCCTTGGATTAGTTGTGTTTGATATAGAGCTTATGTACAGAGGGAACTCTGTAATTAGCTGGCATAGGGGAAACTTAAAAATATTTAATGTTTCGTCTTCTTTTTAACTTTCTCCTTCACCCCATTTCTGCTGTAGGGGTGCTGAGCTTTTCCAGGCTACAATTGTCAAGGCTGTAAAGGCAAGAATTGAAGAGGAAAAAAAATCAATGGATCAACTGAAAAGACAGTATGTATTTAAAGAATTTTTATATAGATAGGTACATAATATGTCACTGATTGTTGATACTTATCTAGCACCTTCTTTTGTAGAAATGCTGATTAGGTTTTGAAGTATGATTTTGCAATTATAAAAAATGTTCTCTGGACATTCAGAGGTCTTAGATATTCCAGAGTTATGTAGTTAGGTTTTCCAAAGAGACAACATACTTAAGAATATAAATTTACATTTAAACACAGTTACATTTCTATGACCAGTGGCTATGAGTTTAACGTAAAGAATCAAAGTGGAATGTACTGACTAACCTGTTCCTCGGTGAGCCTGAAACTAATGGAAACAGATGTTTCCTACAGTGACATCACCACCCCTGCTTATTCTGAAGGTTCTTCTAAACCCTAGAAATTCTGTGATGATAGGTTAAGAAGATCAGCTTTTCACTGTTCCACACCTGAGTGTCAATAGCAACATGACCATATAGTCTTCTGTTAAATACAGGGCTGGGAGGAGATTTTCTCCCATTTTCTTTCCTTTCACTAATTCCCCTGCTGTTCATTCAGTCACCATCTCTCAGAAGAGTAGGATAGTCAAATGCAAATCCCCTATGAAACTCTTGAAAAGTGTAGGCAGATTACTAATCAGAAGTGAGAATGTTGACCCTATCTCATCTGAAGGTGCAAGCCTAGATGCTTAGAAAATAGGAGGCTGAGATATGGGAACTGGGTTAAAAAAACAAACAAACAAAGAAAAAAACCCCAAAAGCCCCAAAAAAATCCAAAATAAAAAACCCACAGAAATTGCAATAGCAAAAGGCCTAGTTTGAGAAGCTGTATTTAAGAGTTACCTAAACAGACTGAAATCACTATGTGCTAAGGAAGCTGAGTAACATCCTGGCCCTGCTTCAGTGAATGGGAATATTCTCCTTGACTTTACCATTATTAGGATTTTGTTCTACATATACGTATTCCTAGTAAAAAATGCTGCATGACTGCTGCTTCTGTTTATTTTGTGGTTCCTCTCTAGTGTTTGAGTGCAAAACATATATGTTTACCTTCAGTGAAAATATTTGCATTCAACTTCACCAGCCTGGAGATCCTTTCTCTTTAGACAGGTGCTTCTCTTGCATGCAACCAGCATGTTTCATTTGTAACTGCAAAAAGCTGTCAAAGCTCCTCTACCACTAAGCAACAGAAGTCCTAACTGCTTCTTAACCAGATGTCAAAACCCACTACTGACAGCTTCTTCTACACCTCCATGACTGAATAAGTATCAGAAGGCTGTAGGGACCATGCTATGCTCCCTACCCAAATGCCTGGGATTTCCCACCCAGTGATGTATTGAGCTGTTGCTGGTGCTGCTCTGTGCTTGAAATAATCTTATCCCATTTAACAGGATATGCCTGCCCTGGAAATAATACTTTTCTGTTAATTCTGCATAGTTTAAGGCGAAGGAGATGATACTGCTTGTGACAATGCCAAAGCTAATCTATGTTTCTAGGATAATTACCAGTTTATATTTGCAGGATGTCTGACTTCAGATATAGAGGGTGCTTGGTTTATTTAATTCAACTGTGCATCAGTCTGGTTAGGATAAAAAGAACCATTAGCATGATAATAATCTATGATTATGCTTAAGAGCAGGATTAATGACAATGTGGACTGGATATTTCCTTTAGAAATGTTCAAGTGTGTGTGTGTATGGATGTGTTCAACACTTTTTTTTCACGGTGGGTCAAAGAGTGAAGATGTGAATCTAATAAGTAAGTTTCTTCCTTTTGATAGAATGGATCGCATCAAAGCCAGGCAGCAGAAATACAAAAAGGGTAAAGAGAGGATGCTAAGCATGACCCAGGAGTCCTCAGAGGGGCCAGAGATCCGGAAGGTTTCTGAAGAAGATGACGAAGGTACCATTTTCAGTCACTGAAATGTTTGTATACTTTTAAATGTTGTTTAAAACATGGGAACAAATAAAATTATACCCATCTAGTGCCACATTTTTATTACTGACTTGGCATTATCACTTACTGGATTTGAAATTTTTGGAGCCTGAAATACAGTAGGATTTGAGAGGAGGCAAAATACTTCCTTGTTGAAAATGACAGTCAACTGTGACTGTATGTTTTAAAACACAAAACTGCATATCTTAGCTGGTTTAGAGTGGAAGGTTGTTTTAACTGCTGCATAAATCAGTATTTCTGCTTGGTGGTCATGCTTCTGAATGATTTTAATGTTGAATGTGTTCAGTAGATCATAGAATCATAAATCTGACATCTGATGTGCTCATAAAACTTTAGCTCTTTTAAGAGAAATTTAAAAAATATTAATCAGTGTAAGAAGCATGTTTCTCATTTTGTAAAATTAATATTTGAACGTATTTTATTTTAGGAGAAGCAGACAAAGAGAAAGCCAAGGGCAAAAAAAAGCTGTGGTGGCGGCCTTGGGTTGATCATGCTTCCAGTAGGTTTTCTCAATCATCTTACAAATATGTGGATTTAACCCTTATATCCTTGACCAGAATGAAGGCATTCCCATACGTGTTTGTTTTATGCCTGATTTTGTGATTGTGACTTGATAGAAGGCTTGGGTTTTTTCAACAAACGATTTCTACTTCCAAGACCTCCAGAAGTGAGTTTAACCATGCTTTGAACTTTTGTGTGTCGGAAGCATAGCTAGCTCATGATACTTTGGGCATTCTCAGAAAAATATTAGGTCAGATAAATGTGCCAAAAAAGAATGTATTTTGGCCTCAACAGTCTCAATTCCCCCCTACTGCAAAGCACAATATATTTAAAAATTAGAAGGAAAAGGTTTGCCAATGAGTTCTAAGATTAGTCATCATTTCTTTTTCATATACACACATCATACATCTCTTTTTATGGTTCATCAGGTATTCTGCTGTCAGCTGTAGAAATCTGAGTACACGGTAAAGCAGAAGACTTTCCCAGGACTACTCTGTGTAGAGCTCAGCTGAATATGTCTCATCACACTTTAATGTTTTATTGATGCCACTTTTTTGTTATTTCCTTTTTTTGTGTGTGTTTATCTGAGAGCAAAAGTATGTCCAGCCTTGTGCACACGGATTTAATAGCTTGTGCCACTCATATCATTGTATCATTACGATATTTTAATTTTTTGTAGCCCAGTCCAGACATACAGTAGGGTTTTTCCCTTAGTTATTGATTGGGTAAAACAAGAAAACTGAGTAGGCTGCAATCTCGAATCACATATCCTTCTGTTGGATCTTTATGGTAGGAAATCAGACATGAGCTAGTTAATAACCTCTGAAGATTTAAAAAACATTCAAGTGTATAGCAGTCATCAGATTTAAATATGAATGTCTGTATTGTGCCTGGTCATGTAGTTTAAAAGAGTTACTCCAAGTAATGCATTTACACATCTAGATACTGCTTCGTTTACCTATGTGTATTTATTTATAACTCCATCATATATATTTGCCAACAGCATTTAACAGAATATCATATGCTTATTTCTATCAAGTCACAAGTAAACTGTGCCTCTATTTTTATTTTTCTAAAGGGCACACTGCCACTTTAGAGAGACCTATCCCTTTTCAAAAGTATCATGAAAACAAACTTGCCCTATTTTTGTAAAGGGCAAAAAAGACAAAACAGATCAAAATAATAATTTGGGAGTTTTTACTGTAGAATTTCAAGCTGTATTGATTTTGAAGGAATGGGATATGGTCTCTTTTTTATCCACCACTGGTTTTGTAGTAAGAACTGCTCAAGGAGAGACATTGACTTTGGCTTTTAGTTATTTCCCCATCATTATTTAATGTTCTTAGGTGACAACTTGCATTTTGGCATTAAAACAGTGAGCATTCTTGAAAGTATTTAATGCAATAATGCAAAACCTTGTGGAAAACATCATAGACTCTAATACTGCAAACAGTGCTTGCCTGCCGTGTGATTTGTGTTCGCACTCTCTGAAACATGGCAATGACAGCAGGTGTTCACAGGCACACAAACCAGAAATAGATTGATATCCCCCATCTGTCCCTTTTGAAACGCTGTGCTGTATATGCAGCATTCCACTACATGTGGCTGTTTTTCTCAGTAAATTGGTTTGTGCCTGTGGCTGTATATATGTATGTATTGAAGTTGCTCAAGCTTGAGCTTTTATCCCAATTCTGATGTTTATATTTTTATTGCTATTTTTCTGCCACTTGTTGTAATTTTATTATACAGAAAGAAACACAATTTTGTGTATCATGGGAATTTAAATATACTCATAAATTTGGGTCTGAGTAGGACAGATAGGAAACATCAGTGAGGGTTTTGTCATTGACGCTCAGTCACAGTCTCCTTTGTAGGGAGGTATGGCTCCTCTTGTGCTTGTGGATTACTTGCAGAGTGACACAAAGATCAGCAGGAGTTGGGGCCACAAGCTTCTAGGTCTTCAGCTTCTCCTTGGATGCAGAGTTGCATCTGATGTAATGGCAAAGGTGGTGCTTGTACCTGTTCTGGGGAGCTCTTTCCCTCTGGGCACAAGCAGATACTATGCTAACTTCTCCTGCATGGCTTCCCTTTTGCCTCCTCCAGCTCATCCCACAAGGAAAGACTGCAAGTACCTTTTCTTAGCAGGAGAAATTCCTATTTTTGCAGTAGGAAAGGGGTCTTCAAGTCCAGTCTGGCCATGCATTATCTTACTAGTAAAATTTTGTCTCTTTAGTAATCCTTATAGGTGACTAACACACTTCTTACTCCATTTTGATGTGTGCAAGAATGCATTATTGCTATTCAATCATACCTTCCTCTTCAGTTGTAAAAGAGATATAACTGCTAAATTAACAGTGTCCCCTCAGATACACTTGAAAAGTTCTGGAGGGTGATCACTGTAGGTTTGTTTTCTGCCAGCTCAGGTGTTCCAAGTATGACCAGATACTACTCTGAGCCTTTAAGAAACTGCATTGCAGTAGAAGTTTCCCCTAGATGTCAGACCTTACCCTGCTGATCTTCTAGGTGGGCAATTCTTGTTGCTGGTTACAAGATACTCTTTTATGAAAGAGGACAGTAGATTGCTGGGTCTCAAGATACATTTATTTCTTTAATGCATTTTAAATGGGTGTTCTTAGAAGGCACTACACCAAATAATTAATTTGCTTGATCCAAGAAATCTCCAAACTTTATTTTCATCTCATTTAGCAATTAAAACTGCTGAAGTGCTCTGTCTCTCTGTCCATCTGTAGGGAGCTCATTGATGTTAAAAGTCATAACTAAACACATGAGGCACAAAATTCCCTCTGTAAGGGGGTTTTAGATGCTGAAGTTATGACCCAATAGTTCTGGCAAATTTCACAGCGTGCTTACACTGAGGTTTCTATGGTAGTTATGTGTGGTCATCTGTGCACAGTCAACCTGTGTAGAATTCAAGGTATGATTGAATTAAAGCAATTGTTGCTTTTCCAGAAACCTATAATGAGGGTTAAATATAATTTTCAATATAAATATACGTTGCTCCATACAGTCAGATTGTGTGACATTTCATCTAAGTAACTTCCCTTAAATATTTCAGCTTAAATGTGGAAATTATTTACCAGTTGTACTGCTGAATGTAATGCTGTGATTTTGATTTTTCTCTTGCTCATTACCTTATTTTTCTTTTGTTTACCTTGTTCATTCATGTAGGCCTGTTACCATCTGAGAAATAAAAACATTGCTTCTGTTCAAGGATATAAGGCCTAGCTTATTCACTGTTCATTTTTACTGTATGAAGGTTTCAGAACCTTTCTGAATCCATGGGCAAAAAATTGAAACTCATTTGTGATCACAGTAACAGAATCCAAGTGATTTGTTTTAAACAAACCAAGGTTTTCCATTACCTCATCAAAGCTTAACTGTTTGAAGATAGCATTAATTGATACCATCCCCTTCCATAGTTTAAAGGATGCCTCAGCATTTTAAAGAGAAGTTCTGTATTTTTTGTCCAGTGGTACTTTCGTGTAAATTCAGTTATCTACCTGCTGGGCTTTTTGTACCCCCTCATATAACTATCAGTTCCAAATTAGTTTAGACTGAACTGCCATTTTTTCTTCTAAAAAATGTAACCTAGTAACTTGATACATACACTTCAAGATTTTTCCTTATGTTTTCTTCTCCTGGTGATGTTTTCTTTAGTTCTTGTATACTTCTCATCATGCCCAAAATATCACAGACTAACATCAAATAAATTGCCTGACACCTTTTCATCTCTTGCTTCTTCTCTGTTTTCACCTCTCCTCATTATGAATTTTTAAATGACTGTCTGGCTGTTCATAGCTCTTTGGGCAGGTGAGAATAGAACTTTTCAAGAAAATAAGCAAATATTTTGTTTCACTTAGTGGTCAGAAGTGGAAATTATTATTTGTTTGAGACGGACAGTGAAGAGGAAGAGGAAGAGGAGAAAAAAGAAGAGGAAGAGCCTCGAAAAAAATCTGCATTTCAGGTATTTTATGGTAATCTGCTTTCTAGTTGACATCTGGAAAAAAATGTAGGCTTCTTGTGACATTGGCACATACATTAAAGCAGCCAGTACATCTAAAGTAGACTGAAAAGTATTGGAAATGAAATTTCTTGCCAATTTAAAATGCAAGTTTGCCTGGTTTATGCATAGCCAGATTCCTGCAGAAACTATAGTGAAATCTTATCTTCATTCGCTTGTGCCTGAGGAAACCAAAAATACAAAACCAAAGGTTAAGTATCTGAGCTTTCTTTTTTCTGTGTTTCAATAAAGACAAGTGAGGAAGCTGACTTGCCTCTGGCAGTGCTGTATGATGCTTCAGTGGTTTTCTGGTTTTGAGTAGATCTTATCTTTCCATGAGGAAAAGATCCCCCAAATTAGAAATTTTTCATGGAAAAGGATACATCCTTTAAAAAAAACCCCATAATTTTATTATTGATCCCATCAGACCAGAAAAATATATCCCTGGTTTAAAAAATGCTTAATGTTTAAAATAATAAACTTAGTTTTTCAGGATATTGTTAATTAATATGTTTGCTTTTTAAGTGACAGACTGCGTTGAAGTAAGAGGATATTGTGATGTTAAAAAGACAGCTGAAGTTTCCTGAGTTACTACATATTCCTACTGTCTTGATGTTAGACAGGACCAGGTATTGAATCACCTGGCTTAAATTAAGAACTTGGGTAAAGCCGTTAGTGAAATGGCCATGCAAATAGGGTTGCTTTAATCTTCTTTAAGATTAAAGATTTACTCAGTGAATAATTCTCAGAAATACCACAGAGCCTTTTCAGGTCTGTAATTTCAAAAGCTTAAGCAAACAGGTAGCTTTTTGCAGATGAGTTATTCCTATCCAGATACAAGCTCATGTCATAGCGGAACTGATGCATTGCTGAAAGCCCAGCCCAAGCAAGAGCACAAAATTGCTTCCATGCTCTTCTATTCATTATTACAATAGCTTCCAAACAAAGCTTCTCAGATGACATTACTAAATTACAAGAAGAAATATTTTATGCAATCCATTGATACATTGTGCTTTTAGTTTATATACTTATATTACATTACCAGCTGATCACATTTGTTGAACTGCCTGCATGGTAATGAAATGGAAATATCTTTTTCCTGACCTTAAAAAAAGAAAAATAAATCTGGATGAAAAACAATGTGATAAGTAAGCTTTATTTTCTACTACTTACCCTAATTTTTTATTATATATTTTTTGCATTTAACTCACTTTGGACCATAAAAAGCTCCTGAATTTCTAGGTCATTTTTCCTCCTGGTTTTCATGAAGGTGTAGAAGAAAGTTTGCATTCTTGTTTCTGATGTTTTTTTAAAAGACTTGGTGACAACATTTTGTTCAGAGGTGCTGGTGCCAAGCACTGAGATTTTGAAGAGTTCTAAACTTGAGGTCAGGAGCTAATAGGATTCTTTCATTTACTTTGGGGTTTGGGGTTTTTGTTCATTTGGTCTTATTTTTTAAATCTTGGGCCTGAAACTACCAAGCTGAGGATGGAGGATCTGGTCTTTATTTCTAAATCCTGGCCAGTCATTCTGTATAGTGGACAGTGCTGCAATATGTGCAACATGATGATGTTGAATGGCTTTAAATAGGAGGAGAGTTATATAGAATAGAAAGGCAGGTTTGTTTATGAAAAGCTTGTTCATCATTTGGTCATCACACCTTATTTGCCTTCAATCACCATGTACATGGTCTTAATAAAAGTACGAGCAAAGTGAATTGTTTGTTATGGAGCCCACCAAATACTTACTTTTAAGTTATGATTTTTCTTTTAGTCTAAATTGTGTGCAATACTTCAGGGGTTAACATGGAGATTTTATTTGTGAGAGTATGCAGGCAGTTAAGAATCATCTCATTGAAATTTTATTGTGAATATCACAAAGAATCTTTTATCGGAGTCTATAAATGTAATTTCATTCTTAAAATCTAGATACAATCATTTAATATATATTTTTATTAACATTTTCTTGTTTCCTACTAATTGCTATTGCTTTGTCCTTTTTTATAGAGAGCTATTGGGAAATTTGCTTCAGCCATTTTAGCCTTGCCAAAGTCTATCATTAAACTACCCAAAACTATTCTTCAGTACTTAATCAAAGCAGCAAAGGTACTTGAGATTTTGCAAATGCTCAGTATGTGACCCATCCCATAGTTCCTGATGCAGTGTATACCTTTGTCGTGGTCTGCATTTTTCCTCTTATATGAAAGATTAAAAAATAAATATTACAGCCAAAGATTTATTCATAGTAAATACAATACATCTCATACTTTTGCAGTGGCCAAGCCACAAGTGAAGAGGTCTATCTTTTTTTAACTACAGCCCCTGAGAAAAAATGCAGACCCAAACTCGTTTTCTTCTCATACTGCTATACACGATGGTCACATCAAGTTGCATGTATCTTGGGGACACGGTGGTAACTGATCTCAGAAAGCTGGTAAAAGGTTTGTAAAACACACATTCTACTCCAAACTCCTTTTTAGTTCTCTACTTCTCTGCCCTTTATAATCCTAAAAAAGATTTGTGTATCTTCTTTCTTGTCCTCCTGGAATAAATTTAGCATTTCCTACCTTTGAAGGACTGTGTATCATTTTACACTCCATATATGTAACATGGTATTTGTAAGGAGTGAGCATTACAGAGTGTAGCAGCCCCAGAGCATAAAAGTTGATGCATTTAAAGTTTGTCCAGTGGTAAAAATCTAGAATAATATATACGTATGCATCAGCCACCTCTTAAAATACTTTTTAGCATAGTTAGTTACATTAAATTTATTAATCCAATGCCATTTCTTCATTCTAATCTTTACCCTCTTCCAAGTCTGCCTCTTACCTCTAATTTCTTTATTCATGCTATGCCTGTGACTAGCATGCGGTTTTTCAGCAGATGTTGACAGTTTCTGATTTGCAGTAGTTGATACAGTATTAGTTCACTTAGCTGTCACACAGATAACCAGTTCACGTAACATTCCCCCAGATAGCCTTCATTAGAAAGCACCTATTACAAAGCAAAGAGAAACCAGTACATCTGATGCCACGTATTTTATCATATGCTGCTTGTACACATATAAAAGTAAAGGTACAGATCTTGAGACATTTGGAAGATGATCTTCTTATTAACAGTACCAAGCTAATTTCTTCTACATTGGTGTGGAATTCACAAAACAGAGAAATGTATTTTTCTCTTTAAAGTCAGTTTGACAGTTTTTTAAAAGTACTTCTAATAATCCAAAGCAATTTGTATTATGCAAATTTAAGATATAGAAATAAACCAAAGAGAAATTTTACCATTCTGTCTTATGAGGGACTGTTCCAGCTTCCCTGAGATACATGTGTGGTGTTGTCATTGTCTGCATGTTTGTCTTGCAAATTAATAGACCTGGTTTGTTACTGTGCTTTATTTTGTGCTCATGCCTGCATCTATGTGTTTCCTGCCCTGTCTCTATTACCAGCCTTTGTTGCTTAGACGTAGAAGACAATGTATTGCCAAATGAAGTTGATTGCCATTTTTCAATTAAAACTATAGAAGGAGCAAAGGAACATCTTTTGTCCTAAAGAGATGTGGAGAAGATAGTTACTTTGGTCTCTGTTTTTCACATTTTATGTTGTATAGGAAAAAAAGATATGAGTGTTACTTCTTTTTTTCTGTAACCTTCCTTCACAGCTTGAGCAGAACTGTTCAGAAGTTACTTTAGGATATTTTTATTTTTTTTTTACTTTTTTACTTTCATCCATTGCTATAGCATTTATGAATATTTTAGGCCAATTCTATGCTTCATGTAGTCATACAGGTCAACAGACTGTTGATCTGAGTGAGTGCTGTGAGTAGGATTTGGCCTCATAAAATACTCTGGCTATATAGGTAAGTATTACTGTCTTCATTTTACAACTGGAAAACCAGTAGCAGAAGGATTCATAACTGACTTATCTGAAGCAACAAAGGGAGCCATTGTCAAAATGAGGATGAAATCTGAGGAATTCCTTTTGGTATGGTACACAGATAGCAAATATAAATGTTCCATTGGGATCTGCAGATGAGTATAAAAATACCTTACGTATGAAAGATGTGCAAGCACAAATACCTGTACTGAGATATCAGTATATCTTTTGATGCTTTAGTTAGTTAATTGCAGCACTTAATGTTTCCATTACTCTGCATCTTGCCTGTAAAATTAGAAAGTAGAAATACAGGATTAAATGGAGAGATTCAGGTGAAGTAGCCCATAAAGACAACAGGGTATTAATTCCTAACGTTCAGAGCATGATTTTTTATGGGTTCTAATGAAACTTGGTTCACCCACAAGTGTTTGCACATTTGGTTTTATGCTTGCAAAAATAGCACATGAAAAACTCAGCAGATCTGCAGCAGAGGTTTTTTGAGTCGGGATCCAAAATATTTCCTTACCCCTGCAGATCTGAATGTGTTTACTCAAGCTATATAGTCCTGCTTGTGGCTTATTCTATGGCTTACTCTCAAAACATGAAGAATCTTGACATAAATGAGTTTGTTCCTTCCAGTTTGTTTATCAGGCCTGGATTACTGACCCTAAAACAGCACTACGACAGAGGCGCAAAGAGAAGAAAACTTTTGGGAAAGAGAAGCGAAGGCGAAAAGGATCTGGGGATGGTAGGTAGACTTTTTCATTGCAAAAACATAGTGTTAAGTAGACTGCCTGTTGTTCCTGGTAGTGAAAGGCAGCTATGATTTAGAGGGTAAGGGTTCTCAGTTCTGACAAGAAACTGGAAAAATCAGTTTGTCTTTGGGTGGCTGTCTCTCCCTGCAGCAGCCAAGGCCAGCCATAGCTATGTTCTTCTGTTCTACACAATGTTCATTGGGGGAGATAAAAGAGAATCACAGAATGGTTTGGGTTGAAAGGGACCTTAAACATCATCTAGTTCCAACCCCCCTGCCATCGGTAGGGACACTTTCCATTAGACCAGGCTGCTGAAAGCCCCATCCAACCTGGCCTTACACACTTCCAGGGACAGGACATCCACAGCTTCTCTGGCCAACCTGTTCCTCTGTCTCACCACCCTCATAGTGAGACACTGGAGAAGAGAAGAGAGGAATATATGTGTTTCCTATGTAGTTGCAAGACATATGCCCAGAACTTTGCCAGGTAGTAAGGCTCAACACATTGCAGAAAGCATCAGCTGTATGAAAACATTTGTGCAAGTAGAGTTCTTGCAAGACAAAGTGTCTGTTGCCACTGAAGCTGTAGCTGCAGTTGCTTGATACGAGATAGAAGGAGTTAGTCGTATGTCTGCCCCTCAGTTCTTCCTGTAAATATACATCACACAAAATTCCCTGGGTTTATACCAACAAATTATTTTGCTCAGCAGCCTATCTAGTAAGAAATGCCACTGCAAATTACAAGAGCGGTGGTCATCCATGAACACCTTTGCTAACAGGGTTGTCCCCTCACTTGAGTCCTTTAGAAATGGAAATATGCTTTCTGTTACAGTGAGAGGTAATGGACCCATCACTACTGCTTAGTAACTGTATCATTTTCTAGCTTGAATGTCATTTACACCCACCCTTCTACAGTATCACTGTTTCATTGTTTTCAATAGGTGGTACTGATGCAGACTGTGAAGATAGTGAGGAGGAACCTGTCAAGAAGAAATCTGATGGGCCAGGTATGAAGGCAGAAGGAGGGTTTCTCTGCTGTTACAATGCACTTGTGAATGGTGGCATGAGCAACATATGACAGACAGCATTGCAGTGATCCCAGGCTTGTATAAAAGCCATACAATCCACTCTAATGTGTAGTGAGGACTTTCAAACTACTTTCGAGTTTTTAGTTGCCAGATTTACAAGTCCTGAGGATAGGAACTTCCACTCCTGCCCTATTAGCTACTGTACTCATTCTCTACACACTTTAATAAATACATGTGCAGGCTCAGACTTGATTACTTGATGTATAATTTACTTATATAGCAACTTACATGTATTCTTGCTTCCAGTCTTGATTTCATACAGCCCTGTGTGAAAATCTCCATTCTTTTTGAGGATTGAAATGTTATTATTAGCACAAAGACCTTGTGTTTTTTAGTGTGTTTTAGCAAGGTTAATATAATGCTTTTGCCTGGTACTCACCCATGCAGCAGGGTGCAACAATCTCTAAAAGCTTGGATTCTCCAAATCTTATACATTCTTATTCATAATAAGACGTAAGGATGATCTGCACAAGAGAAGAAATGCCAGCAGTTTGCAAGATCTTGCCCATATCAAAAGTTTTGCTGCAAGGAGGTGTAATAGATCATAAATCTGTGCTAGGCTTTTTGTTTCTAACTGGAGTAAAAGAAGAAAACAGAGTCTCCTTTTAAGTAAGCCTTCATTGTGGCTTACCTTGAGGGAGACTTTTTCTTCAAAAGCTATTTTTCTTCTCTATTTAAAATAGGTTCCCACAGTTCCAGTTAGAATCGTACCCCTAAGAGAGCCACAGGGTGGAAGATGTTACAAGGATGTGGGAAATGTCATTTTTTCTCGCAGGTGCAGTGGTCTCAAACAAGTTGCATTCCTGTAGGGTTTTTTTGGTGGGATCTGGGGCTTTTTTATTTGTTACTTACTGACAGCACAGTTACCTGTGTTAAAACACTGAAGTGAATCACTCAAACACATTTCTAGGTAAATATTGTTGGTGCTACACAGGAGTTAGGGAAAGAGAATGAGGTTTGTAATTAATCTGTATTGGAAATAGTCAGTTTGAGTGATTTATATTTTTGTTGAAATACTTTGACCATTCCTGGGTATAATTTGTTAATGAAGATGGCCGGAAAAAATAGCTGGCAATTAGTATCATTATTAACCTTAGATCAAATACTCTCTCCCACACTCAGGTAGAGAGAAGCCTTCTCTGTATTTGACCCTCTGAGTTAGAATAACAGTCCTCAAAACATAAATGTTTCCCTTTTTGAAGATGTTTAGATGAAATCGATCCCCAAAAGATTATTTTTAAAAGTTTTGAGAACAGCAAAGCTGCCAGAATAGGTACAGCATCATTAAAAATGTATACCACATGACCTCTATCCCAGAGAGAAAAATGACCTTTCAGATTGGACTGGAAGTGCTTGGCAAAACAGGAGACTATGGCATTCCAGTGGTGGTCAATAATAAACATAAATTTAACGTGAAAGCTGTGATTCTGCTGAAGTCAGTAGTAGAAATTATATATTGTAGAATCATAAAATCAGAATAGTTAGGGTTGGAAAGGATCTTAAGATCATCTAGTTCCAACCGCCCTGCCATGTCACCCAAAACAGAAAGGAAGTGTGGGTTAACAGAGAACATTCATGTGTTGTATATTTTTGTGTATGAGTGATACTTTTCTTTTAACCTATTCATAATATTACCTGGAATTTGAAGGGAATGAATGGGTCTTGAAGTAGAAACAGCTTTACAAGTAATTTACAAAAGATTTCCTTTGGCTACAAGATCTTCATGTTGAAGTATGGGTGAATAAGTAGATAAATCATAAAATATCTTTAATTCTAAATGACCTAGAAAAAATCAAAAAAGGGCAAAATATTATTTAAATAATTGTATGACCAAGCAAAGGGGGCTAAATGCTCCAGACCAGACCAGTTCCATGGTATCGCTCAGATAAATGGTACATACTGCCATTTCAGCATCCACTTCACAGAAATGTACCACTAACAGTTTTCTTCCCTAGTTTCACTCTACACGTATGTGAATGCAACCCTGCCTGCACACACATGCATGTTCCTCCGTAGGATATCTTTTCCTTTATTATAGCTTCACCTTTGCTTTCTTTCTCGGGAGCTAATGTGCACTCCACAAAGTTTTGCATGCCATCTTGTGGTACAGCTAAGAAGTGAAGCTGTTGAAAGCGTTAAGATTTAGCACATAGGTTGGTTGGTTCCTTAGTATCTGATTCAAACGTTTTGTCCCTGCATGTAGATTAGGGGCAATTTTCTGGTATTTCTTAGTCTGGTTACTCTGAAATCGATCTTTATAGCAAATTCTCTGGAATTTGCAACCCAGCAGGGACAACTAACTCTGAAACTGGCTAGATGGAAAGAATTTTTTTAGTATTAGTGCAACACTACGCAAGAAGAACTGTAGTGTGGTGTGCATGTTTGTGAGTAAAAGAAAAATATACTGAAAGTTCTGGTTTCGGGCTGAGAAGCGCAGTTGGTAATGCTAAGGGAACTACTAAAATAAGAACTTGGGACACCTGTGTAGAGCAAACTAAAGCTACTGTTGTCGGTATAAACCAGTAAGGCCCACTCATGGGAAAGTGTATTGTTTTGGCAAAATGGTGCAAGAGTCATGTTTGATAAATGATTTATCCTAGTTGGGCTAGTTGATCTGAGATCACTGATGACACAATGTAGCCTATTCAAAAAAAGAGAGACTTTGGAAACAATCAATACAGAGTGGTTTGTTTAGGTAGTTGGAAAGCTAGGAGAGAGTCAAAGACTGTTTAGGCAGATTAGACTTTAAAACTCAGCAAGGTTCAAGCACAAAAGACAAACTGCAGAGAGAAACGTGCACAAGTAAATAGACAGGTACAGATGGGTTCAGCTCAACATGCTGGCTGAGTGGCTGTTGAGATCAAAGGAGCTGGGGATGTTGAATAGCTCTCAGGAGATGTCTAGATCTTTGGGTTTCATTTTGCAGACCTCTGCATAGAGTGTCTGTAAAATTAGGGACTGTTTATGTAAGTAGCAATTGCAGGACCAGGGAGTTACAGGATGGAAAAGGGATTCCAGATGATAAGACATACAGGCAGGAAAATGGCCTAGATAGGCAAAAGCCTTCCAGCTGTGTTCAGAGATTCCTTATTATGTCAGGGTCTTGCAGCCTGGATTGTTGTTATTATTACTGTGTAATAAAGGAAAAATTAATCTAACTCCTAGTAGAAATACAATAAAAGATATTTGAGTTCATTAACTCTCTTTTGCTTTTCCTCTCCCTTAGATAACATCATCAAAAGGATATTTAATATCTTGAAGTTCACTTGGGTCCTTTTCCTGGCAACACTAGATAGTTTTACAGCTTGGCTTAATTCCATCTCAAGAGAACACATTGATATCTCTACTGTACTAAGAATCGAACGCTGTATGCTGACCAGGGAGATTAAGAAGGTAAGGCCCTTGGTCTTTTTTGCCTGTTAATGCCATTTCCAGCTCAGTGACAAACGAAATGTCCTTTCAGATCATTGTGTTAATGAAAAAAATTGCAAAAATCTCACTTACATGTGCATTAAAAAAACAGGTCTGGACTCTTTTACTGCTTGCTCTTTTATAACAATAAATAAGAAGCAACACAGTTTATATCCGAACAAATCTAATGAAGAACCTGCGTTTCAGATTTTGCTCTTTAGACGTTTTATTTTGACAAGACTTAAGAGTTTGAAAATTTTATATTAGGGACAGTATAGAGATTTGAAATAGTAGTAACTAGTAATATTAGTAAAGGAAGTACAGGTAGTGTCTTGGAGTGTTTTTATTATTTTATCTGGAAAAAGTCCTTGCATAAGGGTTCATTATAAGTCAAAAAAAAATGACGGTCCAAGTATAGCAGTCTTCTCATTATATCTTCTGAGATCAATGCAACTGCTAGTGGAATGAGTTGGATGTATTTCTGTCCAAGAACAGGCTGTAAAATTCTGAGTTTCATTCTTATGACACATCTTCAGAATTTTGATTGCATTATAATAGGTCAGAAAGACTTGATTCTGTGCCCAGATCTGGGTTGACAGTAAGAAAAACCATCCTTTCATGAACTTGCTTGATCTTGAATTCATAGAGAAAGAGTAAAGGTCTTTTTCATGTATTTTCATTTCCAACTCTATCCATACTTCAAGAATAGATTCTTAGCTGGGAACTGTAATGAAAAACTAAATATTTTTTGACTATAACCTGGTTTAGGTTTTTTTTTCCTGTTTAAAATACCTGCTACTGACCACTACTCGGATGTATGATTGTTCTTAGAGTCAGTGAAGCTATGTAAAAGAGATATCTCAAAAGCTGTTGAAGTACAGGCTGTGTCACGGTCCCAGCGCACATCTCATTTTTATGATGAATGATCTGCAGTTCACCCAGCAGAGTTTTGTTGGCTAAATATTGCTTGAAACCGCTTACACTGATCCAGTTTTGCTTGAAAACTGAATACTGTGCTATGGTAATCTAAGTCGGAGTCTGACTTGCACACTGAAAAAGAACTATGAGTGGGAGGTTGTTTACTATGAAGCTGTTTGCATAATCCTTGATCTATTCCTTGCCAAATGACAGGAGAAATTAGTTCCTCGAAGAATACACCTCCCCCCTGCCGTGTTCCTCTATCTCTACTCTCTTCCACAGGGAAACGTTCCAACGCGAGAAAGCATCCATTTGTATTACCAGAACCACATGATGAAACTTTCTAAGGAGTCAGGACTGGATTCAATTGATAAAAATCCTGGTCAAGCTTCTGGTTTGCAAGCATCTGAAAGAATGGATAGTTTAGATTCAGCAGCTTCTCGTGATAGTATTTCCAGGTATTGATTTAATTTTATTTTGTGAACGATAGAGGGATCATGCAATAGATGTAATTCTAGATAACGTCTAAATGAACTTTCCAATCAGTGTTGAATCCCCTTTTTGATTTATCCATGCCTTTTTAAAAGTGAAAAGTCTGATATAATGTTACTATTCCTTTGTAGTGTTGGACTCAGTTGTTGGCTTAGCTCCTTTTCCACTCTATGGCTATTCTACTGCTTTCTGTTTTTTCAAGAATTAAGAGTCACTAACAGAGGTTCTGATCTATGGCTATTCTACTGCTTTCTGTTTTTTCAAGAATTAAGAGTCACTAACAGAGGTTCTGATCTTGTAAAAATTAATTGAAAATAAGAGCCTGCTGAGGATGCTTATGGGGTAGTATTTTAGGAATTCAGGCATGAATTTTGGGAACAATCATTCATTGCAAATATTTTGTCGTTGTAAAATAAATTGTTGTCTGTTGCCCACAAATCAAAAAAAGGCTATGCATTGAGAGAGAATATGGATTTGAGAGAACAAATTCCCCCTCTTGTATATGCAGGCCAAAGATCATTTAAAGAGCCTGATTTCCTAACTGCTGTGTTTGCAGTCCAGCAGAGCTACACAGTTTGTGGATCAAATACTAGTTCAGGAAAAACACCTTCCTCGTTCTTTTCTGAAGATAGATGCCATCAAATCCCTTGCCAAAATTACTGCATGCTCCTGCTGCTCCATGAACACAGAGGCACACGCATTCACTTCCTTGTCTTACAGAGACAGCCTGTTCCCACCATGTCCCTCGTGTTCTTGACTCTTAAGTGACTGCAGAAGTTGTCCAACATGAGAGGGAGAAGGGAGGGCTTTGGAAATCAAGCTGTTCCATAATCTCTTGCATTCTACTGTCTCCTGTTCTCTGAAGTGTGGCAGTACCATGCTACATTTGATACTCCCAGCAAACTTGGTAGTTTTTTTGTACAGTAAATTATGCTTAGCTTTTACTAATGACATATGGTTAGATGTTAGCTGACTAAAAATAATGAGGGCTTGTCTTCCTTTCTGATGTTACTGAAAAGTAAGTGTAAGAGTGTGACTGTAAGGACTGCTTCAACAAAATACTCACAAATTGTTCCTCACGGGCAGCAGTGGCCTTTGAGAGGTTCACGCCAGTAAAAACAGCAAATCTGAGCAAACCTTTTTGGTGGCTAGCTACCCAACTAAGCAACACCTTTATGTTTTGTCTCAAAGTTTTACAGGAGTCAGATGACGTGAGAAAAATGGATAGCCAAATTCTATTACCAGCTCACTTGGAGCCACTTGGATATCTGCAGGGCAGAATTTAACTCCACAAAGTTCAGTCTCACCTACAGAAAAGATAGTAATATCAGTCCTGCTTTCATTAAATAGTTTTTGGTTCGTCACACTGTTTACTATAGGTAGAAGAAATTATTATTATACAAACATGTTAGCAAGAACCTTAACTAGAAGCAAAGGGAAGCCAATTCCAAAATTATTTACAAAAAAAAAAAAGGCAAAAAACCCAAACAACTTGTCATTTTCATGTGTAAATTCTGCCTCTTCAATGAGATGGGATCCAGTGTTAAGCTCCACTTAAAGGGTTTTTTCTCAGAATAACTGCCCATTTGTTACACTGCTTTAAGCGTACTTACACATTTAAAATCTCTATTTAAACTTAGATTCAAATTTAATGATTCTGCAGAGCTGCTTTTCAACAGAAAAAGTTAAGTCTTTCACATGTGTTACTGTCATCTCTGTTTCCTCAGATGTCACAGGACCTATTGACAAAGAATAGCAAGGCAGTATTATGACTGATTTATCTAATCTCAAATTATCTTTCTGGTAATGAACAATCAAATATTCTTGCACTGAGAGTATTTACAAATTATGCACATCTGCTATAATAATAATGACCTGTAATTAGAGGAAGCAAAAACGAGTCTGCTGATTGAATGATAACGCCATCTGTTTATTGGGGCAGCCTTGCATGTCTCTTCCTGGAATTACAAAAGTGCTTATAGGCTTTTTTAGAATTTTGAAGTGTTTTAAACTTCATGTGATTTTCTGGCATGATTTTTTTTAATTGCCTATAGGGAAGGGGACATTTTACATTTCAAAGTAATGATTTCCAGTAGATATAAAACCAGCTAATTAAATCTAAAGAATCTGTGTGATCATGGATCTGGGATTGCAATGGAAAACTTTGGGAAAGGGCAGAGGTTCCTAACCAGCATCCTGTCTGTCCTTCCTTGGTTGCCATACACAAAATTCTGTAGTAAACATTAGGTCCATAAGTAAGATGGGCATGTCTGGAAGTACACAGGGCTATTCTATTATAATAACATATATACCTCAGTCCTCAGGACAGGAATTCCTGTAGGTATCTGCTCAGTGCTCTGAACACTAATTTTCAGGGAGAACAACCCTTCTGATCAGCTGCAGGAACTGTACATTTCTTGTGAAATTCAGGGCTGATCCTTGTAGGTCCTATCCAGGGATGTCATGCTTAACCTAGATAAAGCTCTAAAAATTGTTTTGCAGAGTATCCTTTGTGGGATTTTCTCTTTTAATAGGGCTGTCATTTATTATTAGTCTTTTTTCTATACAATAGCTAAAGGTGCAATGAGGTATTCATAAAGTTGGGGGGGGGGGGGGTGTTTTTCTTTATGTATAAATGTTCTCATGTATCCTAAATGCACAGTGCAAAGTTCAAGTGGGCCAAAAGGAGAAGAGACTGGTGTTGATATTTAACAATCTCTTTAAGGAACACCACCAGAAAGGGTCAGGAGCTAGCATGGTACAGCATTCACTGCTGTTTCCATTTGACTGATGAACTACTTATTAGGTTAAACAGCTTGTGAATGTCAGTAACATGGTAGGGAACTTGCTAAAACCGCTTGGCTGCCTTTATGAGAGATTGCCTGTGATTATGAAATAGCAGCAAGACACAGGTCCTAAGTCAGATTTCAGAATATCCAAGGTTTTGTATCCAGTTCGGTTTGTATCAGTTTTTGTCCATCACAATAACATATTCAGTTCCCAACCCTAGCTGTGTGTAGGTTTTTATAGGCGCTGAAGGAGGGATCCCCTGATCCTCCTGTAAGAGTAAACAGGGTGTTTACGGACACTACTTTTCAGCTGTGCTTCCCTCACCAGATGTGAGAATAGGGCTTGTCGTAGTGAGTACCTGAGAAGTAACATTTGCTCTGGGAGGCAGGAGAAAGTATGAAAGGAAAGTTCCAGCCTGGGACTAGATCTTGGTCTGATTTAGGAGTGTGAAAGATTTGAGCTATTTGGGATTTTTGCCTGCAGATGTGGGGAGTTTAATAATTAATAAAGGTAACGGCAGTCAGTAACTCAAAACAGAAAAAAAAAAAAAGCCAGAAAATTTGGAAGTCACCACTTAAACAAATAAACTCTCTGGGAAGGGTAAATTTGTTTAGCAAAAAGGAAGTCATAAAGTAAGAAATTTCCTGCTTGCTGAGGATAAAACCATCTCTGCTATATATATCCCCCTTTTAAATGGATACCTGATCAACTTTATAGAAAAAGCTTGAACTTCAGCTTTTAATTTCAATTTAAAATACCTAGTGCTTGGATGATTTCAAGAAGCTAATGCTTTCCAAGGTCTCCAAGGACACAAATTTGACAAGTCACTCAGGAAGATAAACTTGGATTAAATTTATGTGATAGTCAATGACTGAGTCAACATCAGGTTTGCTAAGTGTAAATCTCTCCACTTTACTGGTGTTCTCATTTCCTCCATGTTTGGAAGCATGTTACTAAAGTACATAAAGAATATACGGACGATACTACAGCTGTCATCTCATACACATCTCCTGACATTCAAGGATACAGAGCAGCTGCTCAGTCAGTAATTCTAATGATGCATTCATCCTTCATTTAAAATAGCTTTAAGCCAAATTATTGCAGGGACTCCATGTGGGCAAATGGTTTTATCCAGTGGGATTAATAGATGTTTTTCCCTTTGATTTTTCTGGGACCCGGGTCAGAATTCACATGTTTTGGAAGGAAACTGGCATATGTTTCTTTCAGTGAAAATATATGAACAGGCATGTGCTTCTTCAATTTTAACAGCTGTTCTGCTTAAGGCCCTTGGAAGGTTCACTCTGAACTACATCTGCATTTAAAATACTTCAACACCTTAGTAAGAGGTGTTGCTCTTGAAAAGAACAACCTCAGCCCTTGAGAGGTAAAATATCATGTGGGTAACATCGTAACACGCAGACAGAAAGCAAAACATAGATCATCTACTTGCAAAAACAGATCATCTACTTGCTGCCATCTCCCTGTATTTAGCACCAAAACCTCACTGATAGTACAGCCTGGCTATACACCATAGGTGTATGTGCAAGGGAAACCTGCTTCCTCATGACACCCTGGAGTCAGTAACATGGAGATCTGACCGATTTCTGTGCTTCTGAATCAGGCCTCTAGGGTGGATCTCCTGTTCCTATAAGAAGCAGCATTTGCTGCTTCATCAAAACCCTGCACATGCAGACAGCCCTCCAGGTTTTGTCTGGAGGATGCTTGTATGCCTTTGCACACACACAGAAGTAATGAAGTGGCATGCCAAGTGAACTGGCAGGAGAGAGGTGCCCTGCCATTAATACCGTTTTTAAGGAAAGTATTTCACATTACGTTTGGTATCTTGGTGATGCTTTTCTTCTATTAACAAAGTATGCTTTTAGCCTCATCCCATTCTGTCAAAAAAAAGACTGTCAGTGAGTGTAAGCTTCTTCACATATTTTGCTGTTTCCCTACCCATTTTCCTTAAGGCAACAATTGTAAAATGTCACTTCATGCCAGCAGATTTTTTTTTCTCACTTTAAGCTAGCTAGACCAAAGTAACATGGAAAACGACTCTGCACTTCCCTCCTGACCTCTTTCCCAATTCTCTCTGACCCTGGACAAACATAATGCTTGCCAAGGGAGCAAATCCCCTGCTACCACTGCTCTAGTTTAACACAGGTGGGCTCAAAAGAAGAAAAGCAGTGTGTAAATCTTGCTTTTGGGGGTTCTTTTTCTTTTCATTCTATCTGAGAGACTCAGGCAGGTCACTGCATGTGTTAAAACATCAGGTCCCTCAACTTATTTCATAGACATCTACATTTATGAGAGAAATAATTTTTCTACCTACCATATGTCATTAACGTGTTTGCTTCTTTTCCTGTTGCTATGTTATAAGCTTGTATTTAATTATGTACTTTCTTTCTCATAACTCATCTAGTTCTTCTTTTCATCAATAACACAGAAATGTATCAATGTATGGTGTATGTCTCTTGTGTCCTGTTGTATTTGATAAGTGAAAGGAGATAAGGGTTTATTATATCTTTTTTTTTATCAAGATATGCGTATTACTGATTTTGAAATAGTTTTTAAGCTGTGACTGAAATAAATGTAATCTTCTGGAAAGAATCATTGGGGCTTACTACTAAATATCAAGATTAAAGACATCCCATGCAGAGCAGGTTATATTTGGCATGCATCTACTGGCTAAGTAACATATCCGATTTGGCTCTTTGGTTTGGAAAGAGGATTAGCCAATGTCTGACAGCTATTTTTCTATTTGTGGAGTATGAGCTTATTCAGTTTTAAAGTCTCTTTTAGGAAATTGGCTTGTACCTGTGTAAAAAGGTTCAGCACAGTATATAATTTAAAAAAATGGGATTTGTACAGAGGAGGAGACTTCCCAAAACATTTTTGTGGAATTTGGAAATTTTAGGGGAAAATAAAGCCCTCATATATGCAGGTTGGTGCCCTGGAAAGCATGTAGAGCATCATGCTGGTTTCATATCTCTGTGAATAGTGAATAGGTAGCTGTTAGGCTTCTGTAGCCCCTATATGAGTATGACCATAAGCAATCTGTGCATAGAAGCATGTTTATATGGTAACTCTAAACAAATCCTTATCTTCTCTCTGAACCTTTTTCATCCGTGTCAATGTTTTGCTGCATGGCGAGCATATTTGTTTAATGAACCATGTGTATGGTAATATCATTTTGTATTTAACACTGTCTTTATAACTGTTTGCGCTGCTAGCTGCTACACTGAAGCAACCATGCTGTTCTCAAGGCAGTCAACCCTTGATGATTTAGATGGACCAGACACTATTCCTAAAACAAGTGAGCGCGCTCGACCTAGGCTTCGTAAAATGCAGAGCATGGATATGTCCTCCTCATCAGCTGACAGTGGCAGTATAGTGTCAAGGTGCTTAACTCATGCATGCTTTGTTCACTCATTTACCCTTACCATTATACTTACTGCAGCGTATGTAAATATGCATTCGCAGATATGTGGTGTTCAGAGTGGTTTGCATGGTTAATGGAAGCTTTACTCCCTTCTGTGTTGTGGCACGATTCTGAGGTTCAAAGTTAGGGTCATAATCTAAGACTCATTTGCTGTTTCATTTCTTATTCCTTTTTTGTTTTGTTTTTCATCCTTAATTCATGTGTTTTTAAAAGTTGTTCCATTACATTACATTGACTGTCTGAAACCAGGCTAAAATCTGTATTTATTCAGCTAAAAAAAAGAGTCTGATTTGCAGTTACCAAGATGATGGTTGTTCATATTAAAATTGGAAGCTGGAAGTGAAGTTTCTCAGCTAATCAGTTATCCTGAATATGGACTTAGGTATCTAATTTTAGAAACTAAGATAGGCAAACACTGGCCCTGCTCTTTCAATTTTTTTGTTTTCCCCATATTGGAAAGATTACTAAATATGTTTTGATCATTTACTATTGATTTGCAGTCTGTAAGGTGTTGGAACTAAGAAAGGGAAAATAGCTATGAAAAGATAGTGAATGCTATTAATATTCAATGGAACAGAAAACTGTTCAGAGCCATTCACTCACTTTTTAGCAGGTAAAACCCAGGGTTTTGCATGACATTTGGAAACAGTGTTTCAACTACCATTATAAACATTATAAATATGACATTTCATGGCACATTATATCATTCTTTTTCAATGGTTGAAGTGTTATGCAAATTTTCAGTGTGGATCAGCTTTGAAATGTAGAGATTTTAGGGTTTTTGCCTTTTAACCAGGATGTGTGCTGCCACGAATCATCAAAACACAGAACCTAATAATAGTGTTACATGTTCTAATTAAAAGCCTGCTATGAAGAAAGTGATCTAATGTAGCCACAATAAGTTTGGATGCAGTGTAAAAGAAAAAGATATGGAACTTAATTCTCAATTTTGGCAGGAGATGGGATGGCCAGCCAGGTTTACCAGTGCCAGATTTCTTTAAAAGGTTGTACCTTAGATGCAAACATGGCCCCATTCATTTCATAAGAGCTATGTGAAATCTGGTTTTATCTCTGTTGAAAGACATGCATCCAACAAAAACCACTAAGTTGATGGCTATTGTCTAACCTATGGAGAGCTACTGGATTTGAGACTGAAAAAAAAGTGTTGTTTGAGGGAAGAGATACCAAAATGCTTGTGAGGGGTGAAAAGGTTGGAAGCAAACCCAAGAAAATATTTTTAAAGTTATGGTATCCGGATTCCCATCTGGAGTCACCAAGCTGCATGAGTTTACATCAGCTGAGACTGTTGCAGAGCACAGAGCATTAAGACAGTGATGATGGAATACATTTGGCTCTGGGACCTGTTGAAGCGGGTCCAGAGGAAGGTACCTCTCCTGTGAAGGCAGGCTGAGAGAGTTGGGCTTGTTCAGCCTGGAGAAGAGAAGGCTCAGGGGATACCTTAGAGCATCTTCCAGTACCTAAAGGGAGCCTACAAGAAATCTGGAGGGCTATTTACAAAGGCCTGTAGTGATAGGACAAGGGGTAATGGTTTTAAATTTAAAGAAGGAGATTTAGATTAAATATAAGGAAAAAGTCATTTACTGTAAGGGTGGTGAGGCACTGAAACAAGTTGCCCAGAGACATTGTGGTTGTCCCATCCTTGGAACTGTTCAGGGCCAGCTTGGATGTGGCCTTTAGCGACCTGGTCTAGTGGAAGGTGTCCCTGCCCATGGCAGGGGGGTTGGAACTGGATGATTCTTAAGGTCCCTTCCAACCCAAAATGTTCTGTGATTCCATGTTTCTGTGACAAGCCAAGAAAAGTACACTGAACAAGTAGAGAACTGAACAGAGTGAATAAGAACAGCTGGAAAAGAGAATAGGTACACACAGAAGAAAAGGCAGGTAAGGTAAAAAAGAAAACTGTATTGAAGAACATAGGACAATATAAAGGTAAGCAAAATAGCCTGTTACTGGAACAGTTTTGTAATCTGGATTGTATTTGTCCATGTTAGCAATTTACTTATTCTCTTTTTTTTTTTTTAATCAGAGTTGATGTGTTTATTCAGTTCCAGTTGCATACAGCACCCATACAATGGCTGTTAAAAGCACCATGTTTTAGAGGGAACCTTATTGCTGCCTATCATTCACCATGGAGCATGCTTCAAACAGATGTAATAGCAAGCCCTCATTCTGGCCACAAAGTGTTTGAACTACTTTCAGAAAGTTAGTGTAGTTTCTCTTGATGGTGATTTTATTTTTCCCTTTGCTGCTGAAAAGATAATGAATCACCGTGAGTTCCCTGGGATGTCATTCAGAGGGCAGGTGGACCCAGATGGTCCATCTGTGTAAAAGGAGATCATGACAATATATTTTCTACCAGATTATATGACTTTTGAAGGCATGGGAACACAATGGGGTTGCTCAGCTGTCTACGTAAAGGTACAGTTAAACTTCTTTTGGTGGTGAGCCTTGAAAGCCTCAGCTCTCTCTCTGTCTGTTTCTGACAGTGAACCTACACAGGTCACCATGCTCTATTCTCGTCAGGGGACAACAGAAACCATTGAGGAGGTAGAAGGGGAGCATGAAGAGGAAGGACCTCATTCAGCATCAAGGCCAGAGGAAGAGGAGGTGGAAGATTATAGCCTGGATTCAGAAGGAGCTGCATATACTCCTGATACCGATGTGCCTTTGTATTCCACTATGGATAGCAATGCAGAAGCTCCACCTTCCTATAGCAAAGCTGTCAGCTTTGAACACCTTCCCTTTGGCTCCCCAGATGACTCAGCTGGTAAGAGCCTCATGATGGTGAGCCCAGACGATAGTCGGACGGACAAACTTGACACGATTCTCCCTCCACTGACACACGAGCTTACGGCTAGTGAGCTACTTCTGAACAAGTAAGGACCTTTGACAGGGAAAAATTGTTGGTTCCAGCCTGTGAAGTTTTGTCATAACTTTGGGTTGGTTTTCTTTGTCTCCGACTAGCCTCCAGTTTCTGATACAGGCCTTGCACTAAGTTTGATTTAAGAAGCTCATTTCCCGTGTGTGCAGTTGTTCTAATTACAGGTTTCTAAAATTACTCAAGTTCGGGTTGGAAAGACTCTTCTTTCTCCCCAGATACCACACATCATTGTTGCAATTAGCATTGGATTTCTGAGCTCAGTTGTCATGGGGTCAAGGGCTTTTCTAAATATCCTTTGTGGAGAGGGCTCCCATACTCTAGGCAGCTGTGATTTCAAATAAGTTTCCTCCAGGGCTATCTGGGAAAATGTTTCTCCTTTAATTATTTTGGATTACTGTAAGGGAAACTCTGACCTCTGGCAGAGATTTTGTTTAAGTCAGTAGGAGCTGAGGGCTATGTAGGGACACCACCTTGCTAACTACTTTCATAAGGGATAGGATGATCCCCTCTTTGCTTCTCAGACACTGTGCTCAGTAGCACAACCAGCACTGAGGTGGGGATGGTGCCTCTGCTTTCCTTCCTTTTCTTTCTGGTCTGACTCATCTAGAGGAGAGCTTCCCTGAATGCAGGACAAATTCTGAAACCACAGAAATAACTTTCAGAAATTGCCTGCATCTGGACTGCATCTGGAGAGAGAGGCTGTGTAGATCTGACTTTGTAGATGTAGTGTCTTTTATCCTGTTTTTCCAAAGTCATTTTTGCTTTTCAGTGAGATCTCTTCTTAGGCCAGGGCACTCCTTACGATTAAGCAAAGAGAATTGTGGAATGTATCTGAAAGTCATTTAATGATTTCTTGCTGCCTTTTATATTTATATGAGTGAGGTAAAGGGGAGAAGATAGTAGACATTAATGCTAAAGGGCATTTATTATGTTCTAATCTTATGTCACAGGAGTATTCGTAACATACAGCTCCTGAAGAATCTCTGGATTTTCTGCAAATTCCCATCTATGGTAATAAATCAGATATGTATCCAGGCAGGGCCACGCCAGCATGGTGTGATATACATGAGATATACTGGTTGGGCAGCTGTAGGAAAGTGGTTCTTGTAGAAAATCTTGGGTCAGGCTGACTCTCTGAGTAAAGTGGAAAACAGAACAGTTATTTTGCCTGAAATTCTTGTTTTCTGAGCTTTGAATCAGGCTATTTGATTATAATACCAAATCTCCTTTTTTTCTTTTTTTTTTTTCTTTCATAGAACTCAGGAGCAAAATTTTATACTTTTTTCAAAAGGAAAAATAGTAGCAACTTAAAAAGCAGCTCTTGTGAAATTAATTTTAATTTCATTAACTGTACTCTGCTCCTCACAGGATGTTTCATGATGATGAGCTGGAGGAGTCAGAGAAGTTCTATGTTGGTCAGCCTCGAGTCTTGCTTCTTATTTATGCTCTGTACAATACGCTGGTGGCCCGGTCAGAAATGGTGTGTTATTTTGTGATCATCCTTAATCACATGATCTCTGCCTCCATGATAACCCTGGTGCTTCCCATCCTTATATTCCTTTGGGCCATGCTGTCTGTTCCTCGGCCAAGCAAACGTTTCTGGATGACAGCCATTGTCTACACAGAGGTATGCTGTTGGTTTTGTAATCCCATGTCTAGCACAGAAAATTTGAGTTGTGAGCTTTGTATGGTATCGTTTCTGGTTTTGATCTCTAGAATCAGGGCCCTTTGGTCCTTCATATTAATAGGAATATTTGCTAAAGTCCTTGGCAATTTCTGTGGCATAAAATCGTCTTGTTTGTGTTTTATTCATTGCAATGAGTAATCATATCCTTCCTGGCATGTAAAGCAGTTATGAGAACAGACCATTTGCAAATGCCTACTATATAATTGGTAATCAAGAAACAGTATACAGTGTTTGTGGCATCTCAGGTACCTCTGAGAATTATCTGTTGGTAATGTTGATTGACTTTATTACTGACAAAATGTGAACTGTTATTTCTCTGTAGCAATGAATATTCCTGTTTATCTTCTCATTAAACTGCCAAAATAGCCATATTTCTCCCCTTTCAATGTCACAAGGCTTTTGTACCTGCCATGATTATAAAACACCCCAAGTGTGTTGTGTTTCTGAACAGGTGGCCATTGTCATCAAGTACTTCTTCCAGTTCGGCTTCTTTCCTTGGAATAAACATGTGGATTACACAAAAGATAAACCTTACCATCCACCCAATATTATTGGCATTGAGAAAAAAGAGGGTTATGTGCACTATGATCTTGTTCAGCTCCTTGCTTTATTCTTCCACAGATCCATTTTAAAGGTAATCTGAGTTCTGGCAGTTTCTTATTTTATATTTAATTTTTAGTTTTAATTTTTTTAGTCACTCGTGTTACAGTCACTTATGTGGTTATTACGAAAAAATTCTTCACTGAAAGGGTTATCAAGCATTGGAACAAACTACTCATGAAAGTGGTTGAGTCACCATCCCTGGAGATATTTAAAAGAGGTGTAGATGTGGCACTTAGAGACATGGTTTAATGGTCGGCTTGGCAATGTTATGTTTACAGTTGGACTTGTTGATCTTAAAGGTGTTTTCCAACCTATGTGATTCTATGATCCTATGATATATATGAAATTTTCTTCATCCTTGCGAACACATGACTGAGCTTAGCAATGCCTGTGATAAATACCGTAACAGAAGTACAAGGTTGAAATGCTCTCTTTTTTTCCATTAGTGCCATGGATTATGGGATGAAGACGAGAAAGGGGACAATTCCAGTAATAAAGAGGATACTGATGATGAGCTTTCCCTGACAGGAGGCAGGAGAGACTCTTCTGCCTCTTTGAAATCTGTCAATCTTGCAGCATCAGTGGAATCCATCCATGTCCACTTCCCTGAGCAGCAGACTGCCATCAGGAGGAAGAGCTCTAGCAGTATATCACAGCTTTCGCACAGGTCCAGCTTCTCCTCACACAGATCTAAGAGAGGTAAAAGTCATGGCATTTCTAGGATTTGAAGAGCAAATATTAATTTCCCATAGGATCATCTTGCTGAAACCTTGTGCCAGTTGCTTTGGAGATCCCAGAGGCTATTGAACGATGCTGCTTCTCAGTGAGGAAATAGGATATGAACCAAAGTATCCTCATGTTTGAACATACTCCAAGCCTTCTTAAAATTCAAATGGAGGGACATACCTTGTGATTCAGTATGTTTTGAAAATTACATTATCCAAAAGCTGGGAAAGGAATGCTCAGTGTGGCCCAGATCCAGAGTTTTTGGTTCAGCATAATCTCCAGCTAGAGGGAATGCAAAGCATATGTATTTTTCATATTTACACTTGATCATACTTGAAGTAAGAAAAAGTTGATTAGGAATACCGAAACGGATTACCTGTCCCATCTTGTAAAATGGACAGGCTTACTCTAGCCTGAATGTATATATTACTAATTGAAATGACTGAGTCAGATCACTCAAATACTTGCCTTTGTCACCAGTCTTCTTTTTTTATAGTTGTTGATCAAGTTTTGATCTGCCAGTGATTAAACCTTTACTGGGTGCTTTCGAAATTTTGCCATATTGGAAAAAAAGTGTAAGAATTCATTTTAAAGCTTCTTTCAAATATGGGACTCATATACAGGATGGAAGTCTAAAGATTTATTATTTTCTAGTTTTTGTATTTAAACTTTGATTTTGAATTAGCTTCTCTTTTCCTCCCTGTTTTTTCAGGAAGTACCAGTACACGAAACAGCAGCCAGAAAGGAAGCAGTGTATTAAGCATCAAGCAAAAATCTAGAAAAGAGCTTCTTATGGAAAAGTTGCGAGAACAAATGATCAAAGCCAAGGCCTTTACAATTAAAAAGTGAGCAATGTGAGGAGTTGTGTGGGTTTGGGAAAAAGGGTCCAAAAAGTAAAGGAGTAAATCAGAATTTTAAAGAGAGCGGGTTACTATACTACTTCTGTTAATTCAAGGGATTGAATGGGTACAGATAACAGTTCACTGTATGCAGATGCTTTTACTCTAAATCCCACCAGCTGAACTTTAGACAAATCAACAGTTATTCAAATAGCATCTGCCTGATAAAAAAAGCTAAATACCCTGTGTGAACTTGGTAGGCTATGCATATTTCTACTGAACAAGTGCAATACAGTGGTTTAGAAGCAATCAGAACAAGGGACTGGTGTCTGCAAAGCCCTGTGAAAGCTATCAGAATAGATCTTAGTTATCTTTAAACATTAGTCATATCACACCCAGACATTCTTTTCTTCAGTGCAAGTTACAGTGGTGTTAAATCACTTTTCGGTCTATGTTGTTTTAGGACTCTCCAGGTGTATGTGCCCATCAGACAGTTTTTCTACAATCTTATTCACCCAGACTACAGTGCAGTGACTGATGTGTATGTGCTGATGTTCCTCGCAGATACAGTGGACTTCATCATCATTGTGTTTGGATTTTGGGCTTTTGGGGTATGTCACAGAGGCGTCTATCTGTAAATCCTCAGTGGATTTACATGCTGTAGATGCAAAGTATCATATGAGTGTCCTCCTTCCTCGACCACTCTGTTATATTTTCTTTTTCAGAAACACTCTGCAGCAGCAGATATCACCTCTTCTTTATCAGAGGACCAGGTCCCAGAGGCATTTTTGGTGATGGTGCTTATTCAGTTTGGTACCATGGTGGTAGATCGAGCACTGTACCTCAAAAAGACTGTCATGGGAAAGGTCATCTTCCAGGTCATCCTTGTTTTTGGAATACATTTCTGGATGTTCTTTATCTTGCCTGGAGTGACAGAAAGGTATAATCCTTATAATCAGACAATACAGGTTGAATACTGATGTTCTACCAGTTGTTTGTATTTAAATCTGGGATGGTTATAGCTAAGCTTTGGAATCACAAAGAATTCTTCTTGGTCTCATTCCTAAGCAAAATGTTGGAGTGCCTGTCCACAGCAGTAACTGTGGCCAACATAAGTTTAAGGAAGAATTAATTATATAAAGTATGTCCAGAAATATTCTCAATTTAGGCCAAAATGCAAGCAGGTGAAAGAGAACTTGCCTGTAACTGAGTGATTATAGTACTCAGCTGAGACAATATTGGCTTCTGATTCTGTTCCCCATTCCCAAGACTCCTGCATTCTGGCTTAGAAGAGTGAGTAGAAAATGTCTCTCTCAGGGTAATTTATAATTTACCACTTTCCTGGAATGTGTGAACTGTGGATTTAAATCTCCTTACACTGAAGAATGTCTAAAACCAATGCCTCTTGTGAAGAGCAAAAGTTCTCCTCCCCTGCTCCTGCCACATGGCTCTAGAGGTGGAGGTGGCCACCTGCTGCATGAAGTCTTGTATCACATGTCTGATCAGGTTCACTCTCGAATCTAACATTTCTCATTGCATGGCTCAGGGCAGTTATCACCTCAGTCTGCACTGAGGAGGTGTTAAGGTTCCCTCTTTAGTGCTAACTCCCCTCTTATTTACAATTTTAAATTGCCTCGAAGTATTTACATCACTCCATTGAAATGAGTGTATCACCTGGGCACATTATTCTTCATTAACAGTCAAGTTATTTTATCGGGGAAAAAAACCCAAAATAGGTGTGTGGTGTAAAGAAAGACTGAAAAGTTTAATTTCCTCTCAAAACAAATGTTTTCTTTTTCCTCAGTGCAGTAGTTATTTTGCCCCAACTTGAAAAACAAAAATGCATTTTTTAAGTGGATCTCCCATCTACTGTGCATTGATGTTTTACATTTTCTGTACTTTTATACAATTAATTTCAATTTTTTAATCTTAAATCTGCATCTGAAAGCACCTGTATCCTCTAAGTCAGTCTGACTCTTGGAAGCCCGGGCAAGTTGACTAATGAAAGTAGTTCTGGAGTATCTAATTGAAAATACTGGATCATGACTGGCTCACAGATCCACCATGAGGCATCTCCTGCAGTTCCACAGTGCTATTGAACTGCATTCAGAAGTGGCACATATTCATCAAGGGGGTCAGAGCAATAGAGCACATGATGTGTTAGGAGAGGCTGAGGAAAGAGGGTTAGTTAAGTTTGGAAAACAGAAAGTGAAGAGCTGTTTTCAGTTACCTGTTAAGAGGGCACTGAGAAGGAGCTAAGCTCTTTTCAGATAGGAGAAGAGACCATGCACTGGGAAAAAAAAACAAGGAGAAATTCCAGTTAGATATGATGAAAAATCTTTTCACAATGACAGTAGCTGAACACTGGAGCAGGCTGCCCAGGCAGTGTAGGATCTCCATCTTCAGAGGTGCTCAAAACTCAACTGGGCAAGTCCCTAACAATTTGGTGCCATTAGACCTGATTCAAGCAGAAGAGGGTGAAAAAGATGATCTTCAGAAATCACAGCAACTTAAATTCCTCTATGAGTTAATGACCTTGGAGGTGCCCCTGAGAACACAAGTACCCATTAAAGGTGCCTAGATTCAGTCCAGATGTCAGCCCTCTGAAAAGCCAAGAGAATCAGTATCTACCCAGGGCTCACAGCAGGATGCACTGTCATGGGGCTGAGGGCAGACTGGCCTGGGTTGGGCAGCAAGACATCTCTAGCATCCAGAGCAAGAGGGCACTGCCCCAGAGCTTATGCTCTTCAGGAAGCCTATTCCCAGTCCCTCCCCTGTGACCCTGAGGTGATAACAGATGCTGTTTATAGACTTTCTCATCCAGTGTCTTTCAAGTACTGTTTTAAGCTGGCACAGCAGGGTCAGAAACAAAGGGCTTCTCACAGGATCTTAGGAAAGGGGAACTGCCAGGACCACAGAACATTTCAAGATAATTTGGTCATACACAGACACAAAACTCATAATTTTCCTTTATCTATCTTTTCCATTACAGGAAATTTAGCCAGAATACAGTTGCCCAGCTCTGGTATTTTGTGAAATGTGTTTATTTTGGCTTATCGGCATATCAGATACGCTGCGGATATCCAACTCGTGTTCTTGGCAACTTCCTCACAAAAAGTTATAACTATGTAAACCTGTTCTTATTTCAAGGGTAAGTAAACCTATCGCCCTCTTTCTTTTGTGAAATAAGGATCTGTTACCATGAAATGCTGTAGTTATTCATGACTCTCTTCACAGGCTGCTGGAAATGAAACATTAGGTTTTGCACAGCACACTCTGTATATGCCCTGTGTCCTCTGTAGCCCACACATGCACAAAAATCAATTTTGGGAATGCACATTTCAGAAAAATCAGTCTCCCACTCTGAATCTGGAAGCCTGACATACCAGTTAGCCATTCAGGCCCCTATGGAGGAAACATTTTTAACACTAAGAAATCTATCTGTGAACAGAGATGGGGTACATATTGTCCTTGTAAACAGGTAATGTTATTTGCTTTGCAGTCTCAAAAGGTAGCAAGGGATCAAATCCCAAATTGATCTTTGGAGCAGGTCTACAGGCTGTACCTCAGCAGGTGAGAGGGATAAAGTGAAAGACAATAGACATGAGAAATAAGAGATATACGTCAAAAAATGTTTACTTAGTGTATCATCTCTTGAGAAGTGCTGCACAGTTAAAACTTCAAGAGTTAGGAGAGCTAGTGCAAGTAATAGGCACAGTGTCACCTCAGAGGAAAACATGGCTTTAAGGGGGCATATCCCACCCTCTACTTATGCTTTGATGTTGTCATTAAGCCAGTTCAAAGCATATACATATTTCACAGAAAAGTTGGAATAATTTTAGCCTTTCCTCAGTATTTGCAGTATGGGCCTGTTGCATTCCGGTAGGAAAAGTTACAGAGGAAAGCTTTCTTCATATGAAATAAATAGTCTTTTTGACCTGGCCAAGCAGAAAAGTGTGGGACTGGTAAAGGGAACGATGAGCTTTGAAGAGCTACTCTACGCATGTTGGTTTCCTGTTAGCCCACCTTATGCTGCTGCTTATTCAGGAGTCATAAAGCCCAATTCCACATGCAGCTAATGACTGCTCACCTACTGCAGAAAAGCCAAGCACCACTTGGTGTAAGGAAGTATAAAACAAATTCCCACCATCCTGTGGAAAGGATGTTCCTCTACTCCACTCCCTGGTCAGAGGAATTTGAGGATACAAGCAAGTATCTCTTGTGCTATTCCATCAGTGGCTCAATCACAATTACTGGGCGTAATGATGCAAAAGCGTGTTTATAGCCTGAGAAAGAGATCTAGAGGAACATGAGCTGTGGCAAAAAGGCACCCCCAGTACTAGCTGTGCAATCTCAGGATATGACTGTATTTCTGTCTGCAAATCTTCCATTAAACTGTCCTTTAACATTGGCTTAATTCTCCCTCTTGTCATGTACACACTGTGCTTGTTTAATGTGATCCCCCCATTTCTGACAAGTTATCTGCTCATTCCTTAGGTTCCGCCTGGTTCCATTTTTGACTGAGCTGAGAGCAGTAATGGACTGGGTTTGGACTGATACCACGCTCAGTCTTTCCAGCTGGATCTGTGTTGAAGACATCTATGCTCATATATTCATCCTGAAGTGTTGGCGAGAGTCAGAAAAAGTAAGGAAGCCCCATATGAGTGATCCAGGCCTTCTCTCCCCCATGCAGAAATGAAGAGAAATAATCATGAGTCCCTAAACAATTGGGAAATCCACCACAATGTCTGTTAGGAGACACACCTGGTGTTTATGTTCAGAAATATTCAGGCTATTGGGTACTTTACGTTAGCTGGCAGTCACCACAAGTGACATTTCAAATGGCTTCTCTTTTGTGCATAGCTGATTTTTCCACCATTAACATGAACTACACAAGCACACGCCTGCTAGCTTAATTGCATGCCTGACTTTCAAGACTGGGGTTCAAAGTCCTGGTGTTCACACAGGCTCACTTTGACCATACAACTAAATGAGTAACCTTCAGTAGCAGGGAAACTAGCTGAACAGAAAGGTCAGTAGAATAAAGAACTTATGCCTCCACAGTTTAGGTCCCTGGGACACCTGGTTCATGTAATCGCAGAGGGAGCTCAGCTCCTTTATCTCGGGACAGCCCAGAACTGAACTTCAGGCCAGATAAACCCACCATTTGTCTGACTGAAATGTCAGTCTCTCTAAATCATGTAAGCTTCAGTTCAAATTAAACTTGCAAATTCTGGATTCCTTATAACCACTATAGAGATTGCAACCATATGCTTGCTTATTTTGCCAATTTGAAAAAGAAATTAGGCATTCTTTTAAGAGTGACCCAACCAGCCAGAACGTCTGCAGTGAAACAACTGAATTTTTGAGTGTTACTGATGTATTTCTTCTTTTATTATAGTCCTGTCTCTTAATGGCAATTATTTTCCAAGTATGTCAGTTAGATTAACTCAGAGCTGCTATGCACACAAATCTTGCATATAAGCTTTTTCTGTATGAATTCCATTTTTGCCATGAGTGCAATGTCATCAGAGGCTTCAGAAGTCAGAGAAATAATAATCCAGTTCTACTTTGACTGTCCACCTCATTGCATTTTTTTACACTGCAAAAGGATCATTCTGCATTATATATAGCATATATCTGACAAGGGAAGATTTCCATGTCTAACCTAGTCTGTGTGTGCTAGTGCCATGTAGCAAAATAACTACCCCTGACTTCATGAGTGTTGTTCAAGGTACTTTGATTCTCTGTCCTCACATTGAGTGATATGCCTAAGAACTTTGACTGCTAGAGGCCCTCTGAGCTGTTCTGTAACATCATTAAAGGTGTCTGAACTGATCTTAAACAGACAAATACTGTACCCTTGCTGATCTTGACATATTTTAATGAAAACAGCACTCAGTATTGCAAGACAAATGACTTGATATACTGCTTTTGAAAAGTAACTAATTTGTTCTGAATACAGCATTGTATTACAAATTTTATATTCTCCTAGGGGGTTATGGATTCCTAGCATGTCTTTGAGGTTCAGTGCAATACAGTGCATATTTATTTTGCACATGCACTGTAGAGTTAAATCTTGTAATAGAATGCATAATAGAATGCACCAAAATAAATTACGGTGATGGTAAGGCAGGATTTTGTGGATAGTGAAGCTCTTAAAGTATGCAATCATGATGGCAACAGCAGATGGAGGGACAAGGCAGAACACATTCCATGTGATCTGCTTTGAAAAGAGAAGGATAAAAGGAATGTCACTTTTGGTCTCAGAAGGTAAGAAAAAGAAGGATGTTACATCAGCAGTGTGAAGACTTTAGGAAGAGCAACAAAACTTTAAACATTATTTAATTGCAGTTGGTGTGGGATTCCCTAGAAACAGCGTGTATCAAGCCTGTGAACAACTCTTATAAATACTGTATGTGAGGTGTGAAGCGAATATGGAGGTAGTGCAATATCAGACAATCTGACTGATTGTGCATGTCAGTTGCTGGCAAACAATTGTTTTTTTCTCCCTGAAATACAGTTTGCAGCTTTTCAAGCTCTATGAGAGGAATTCTGCCTTAAAGACCTTCAAGATAAAACTGCTTGGAAGGACAAATAAAGAAATTGGGTCACTCCCAAATCCCAATCAGTTTTTTGAATCGATTGTTCTGTCACTGTTGCTGCTGTTATTTTATGTTTGGTTTCTGTGAGTTCATGCTTGCACTCATTCAGACAAAACATTCCAATTACCGTACTCAATTTTTCCCTTCTTTAGGGCTGTGAAGAACCAAAATCACAAAGGTTTACAATATTTTTCACACCAGACACCAGTTGAATGGGTTCATTTGGCACTTTTCACTGTTGTCACCAGAAATTCAGCATCTGTGTGGGTTTGGCTAAAAATCTCAATCTGCCAGACAATGGGTAGCAAATTACCATAGAAGATCAGAAGCCTTAAGATCATTGTATATTTACTCATCAAATCATACCAAGTGTACCTCTGATAGAAGAGACATTACCATGTTGCTGTTTGCTTTTGCAGAGATATCCCCAGCCAAGAGGCCAGAAGAAAAAGAAAGTTGTGAAGTATGGAATGGGTGGCATGATTATCGTCTTGCTGATTTGTATTGTCTGGTTCCCACTTCTCTTCATGTCTTTAATCAAATCTGTTGCAGGCATCACCAACAAGCCTCTAGATGTATCAATCACAATAACTCTAGGAGGTTATCAGGTAAAAAAGAAGAAAGCCTAAAAGCAAACTCTGCTTTTGTTCTGTATTTCTTTGTTCTCTTTCTTACTCTCTTCAGTGAATTGAACTCAAGCTCCAACAAATTATCCCTTTTGCATTTAAAACATATTAGTTTATCACTGATGTAAAATATTACCTTCGTCTGCAAGTTAAAACTAGAACCTACTGGAAGGGGAATCTGTATAAATTATCCTGTATAAGGTACACTCAAATAACTGCCTACAGGTCCACACGGTAAATGTAAGATAATTGGAGGTAGTTTGCTTCTCAGTGGAATAAGATCATAACCTTCTCCTGTTGAATTGAGTGCCATAATAGTCTTGGACTGTGATGCACAGGATGCTGTACTGTGTATGTAGCAGCTAATGTGAGGTAATTGTGATAAGTCTATGTTCTTTTGTTTTCCAGCCTATTTTTACAATGAGTGCTCAACAGAGTCAGCTCAAGGATTTGAATCAGACTGGTTTCAATGCGTTTCTGGGAAGCTATAGGGGTAATACTGTAAGTGAAATGAACAATAACTCATTACTTAAAAATCCATGCATGTTTCCAATTGGGGGAAATGGAGGCCTTTTGTGAGTTCTGTTTATGTAGTTTTAAGTGGTCAGCAGTGATGCCATCATCTGGAAGATGTTTCCATAAAAAGGGTTTGCATGAGTAAAGGTTTGGACAGATCATTTGTCAGGACAGGGCTGGATTATGGTGAGACAAGTTACCATTAATTGAGACATCTTTGCAAAAAGTCATGGATGACAGTCGTTGTTCTGTCCGTTGAATAAAAACCTCTCCTTTAAATGACACAAACCTTCAGGAGACATGTTGCTGTTGGTTTATTGCCAAAACAAACGTGCTGTGGGGACAACACAAGAGTGTTGGGTCTCTTAAGCCCAGTGCTCCTTCCTGTTGCACACACAGTTTTCACCTCCCAGTGAGATGTGGTGAAGTCAAAAGACTGTCTATCACATGGAAAGTTTTGACATCAGAATCTCAAGACATAAATATTTTAACATAGCCTCACTATTTCATGGTGCAACATGCTCAAAGTTATCACAAGTTTCTACAGGAAAAGGACTAGTAACTAGTAGAAGCTGCTGCATTAATAAAGTAACTGGGATTTGGTCAGATATAACTTTAAAAAAAGAATTTGCTTCTAGCCTATTCAAGAATTAACTTTTTTTTTATTAGATCCTAGGAAATAGCCCGTATTATAGCAACAATAGTGTAATCTTGATCCACTTCTGAAGTTGCTAGTTTCACGTCACCTTATCCTTCACAGCTATCTTTCTATGCAGAAAGATGCTTAATGAAAGACAAATTTTAACTTAAATTTAGATAGACTGTGCAGAGGTTACGTGATGAACTTTCAGACTCCCTTTGCACTGTGTGGCCATGGTACTTCAAAGAGCAGGGCCATTTTTATTCCACCTTCTTAGCTTGGCTATACTTTTTTTTATCCCCTTCCCATCTAAAGCCCCAGGTGGTACCTGAGGAAAATAATCAGTGCAAACCACTGCATTTACAATTAATCAACTACAATTCTGCCTGACTGGGAGATGTGGGTCTGTGTCTTTTGAATATCACCACACTTAAATTTTCTTTTCCTCTTCTGCACCTACAGGCTGCTTTGCAGTTTCTAGAGGGCTATGGAAAAGAAGATATAACTCTTGCAGATTTAGAGGGAAATTCAAACTCTTTATGGACCATCAGCCCTCCCAGCAGAGAGAAAATGATACAGGGACTGCTGGATTTTTCAGCTGAGTTCACTGTAGTTCTTTCATGGAGCATTCAAAGGTAATTAGCATGGCTGTTATGAGGTTGATAGATTACTTGCCAAGCATTTGCTCAGAAGAACAGTTCCACACTGTACTTTTTACTTAGTTTTTCAGTAAATTTTGCTGTACTGCAGAGAAAAAAACAACCCTGAAAGTGGGAGGGAGAGAGACACAGAGAAGTGACCTTTGCTACCCAGGAAAAAATTGTTGCCTGCAGTTCTCAAAAAATAAAAAGAGAAGCAAAGCAACATCCAAGTACATTATTTAAAAGGCAGGGTGGAGTTTTCAATGGGACTTGAGGGGAGGGAAAGAAAAGTAAGAATATTCTAGCCAGTTTCAGACAGAATGTTAAATAAACTGCCCCAAACAGCAACCTTGCTAGCGTTTATGGGAACTGAATACTTAGACCTAGTTAAGGCAGAAAAACTGTAAGGAAATACAAACAAAAGTGCTTGGTCCTGTTACTAAGGGAGCCTGGAACTCACACAAACTATTTTTTTAAAATACACATATATGCAAATAGCATAACAATGGCACAGATCCATGTTTTTGAGACCTTAGCCTGTTTACTTGTGGTTCCTTTGGTCTTGGAGAACTATTACTTTACAATGAAGTTTTTGAAAGAGACAGCCTAGAACACAAGATGGTTGCATGCAGGCTAGAGGATACCCAGTCACCGAGGTAGTTTGTTGGCTCGTGTCTGCCGGATGGGATCCTGGATTAAACTGGAGTTAAGTCATCACTCCATGGAAAAGAAATACCTTTGCAGCCATAGTATCTACCTGTTTTGTTAGAAGTAGATGCTGGATTGTTACAGCAATCCTCAGCAAGTCTGTGCACAAGAAGGAGGTCAGCTGAATCTCTGTCAGAGCTCTGAACATGTTGGATCAGTCTTTCCACAGTCAAAAATAGGCTTCTAAGGAATCTGTACCCTTAATTCAACTTTATTTGACCCTCCTTATTTTCCTGGAAGCCTACAGTATTAGCTAGTGTATTACATCACTCCATCATTTCTGAACCTTATATTAATTTTTAATACCGCTACTCAGTTTGCCCATATGCTTGCGTAACTACAAACATTCATACACTAGTTGAAAAAGACCTTTTTCACCCTCAAATTATATCCTGTGGATTATATTATGACCATAAATGACTGAAAGTGGTAAAGACTTACCACAATGACCTTCCACTTTTTCTCCATGAAGAGAAACTTCTGTCTTTCATCTAGGCCAGGAGACAAGTAGCTCTAAGATGAGCCTGTCTTGTCACTCACGCAGCACCTTCACACATCATCTGCCAGGGCTCTGCAGCCAGAGTTTCATCCCTCATCAAACTGCTGCATCCCAACAGCAGGGTATGGCACAAGGCTGAGGTGGGGTTGTGGGAAGCTGTAGTTTACTGCAGCATCCTTAGCTACTCTGGCACAGAATGTGTGGTAACACACAGTCCTGTTGTCTAAAGTCAGAGCATGCATGCTCCCTTTCCCATTCTGTTTCAACTGACATATTGAACAAAATTCTGTTGATCTGTCCTCATTTTCCTGTAATATAAACAAAAGCATAGAAAGCATTTTCAGTTAGAAAAATACACCTTTGAGGATGCTATGTAGCCTCTGTGGGAAAACGCACCACCTCAGGTACAGACAGTATGATGCTTCCTTTAGCAGACGAATACAGGGTCAGTACTGTTAGACTAGCTGGACAACTAGCCAGCAAGTGTTTAGGTTAGGTTCTCATTGTAGGTTAACAATGCGTCTTCCCTTTTACTTACAACAGAAATCTCACCCTTGGTGCCAAAGCTGAAATAGCATCAGATAAACTTACCTTTGTCCTGCCAGAGAACACCAGAAGAGATATTGCTACAATGATGTCTGGACAGCAACTGGAAAAGGTGTAAGTTATTTTCTTTGGCTATTCATATGTAAGCCTTCCCTTATTAAACCTAATTTCCTAAGGAGGTCAGGCTTCTGCAACTATATCATTTGTCTGCCCATCTGTCACCCTCTAATAACTTTGGAGCCTTGTTCATAGAGGGCAACAACACTGAAGACACATAATAGTAACATTCAAGGTAAAAGCTTATTCCCTATAATAAAAATAGGCTGAGAAGACCATGAACTTTGGAATATCACCAAGAAGCATGGTGAAGCTATCAGTTACATTTCTTTATTGCATAAGCACAAATTCAGTACAGTGTATTCACATCTAAACTCTCCTTTTAGTTACTTTAGGTCAATTTGATCCGAGGATGTTGTATTGATGATATCTTCATTCTAAATAACCATCCAGACTGTATTTCTCATTGTTATTCTTAAATAGTATTATATTGGCAAGGAAGTGTTAAATCACTGCGGTCAAAGGGTAACATCTGCAGTTGTTTCTGACATCAGATCTTTTCCTGTAATGGAAATTTGCAAGGCAGAAAGAGCATGCTCTTCGTATGAACATCAAACATTATTCTATCAATGTAGCTTTATAGCATTAACAGCAGCAGTGACTCCCTTCAGATTTGAAAGGAGTCTGGCTCTTCCTTTTCCGCCTGCTCACTGGAGATTACTTTACAGCAGTAGTCTCTAAATACTGCTAAGCCAACAAGGCTACCTGATCTGATTTGTGGCCACAAGAGTTGAAAAGTTAATGCTGAGGCCAACTGGGATAGTGAAAACCCTCAGAGGTTCATATCTGTTAGTAGGTGGAAGTGAGATTTGTCTTTTTGGTGTACAGCTATTTTTCTGCACCCACTTGTACATCCAAACAGACTGCTGTTGCACATCTGATCATTGCATTTAAACAAATACTTTATGCTTTTACTTTGCTGTGTGAGGATACAGGGATACTTCCTAAGGTTATGTAGTGCCAAGGAGGTTGGATTTTGCTCTTTTGTGGGAAGAGGTAATTAATTGATAATTCTCTTTGCAGGAGGCAAGCAGATACACCTGCACTTGCCTGTGTTCCGATCAGTAATATTGTTGATTTAAGCTTTTTTTACTTTGTTATAAAGGACAGATGCTTGTTGCAGCTAGTAGCCATTTCACACCTTCAGCAGGGAGCTTTCTGCCACCATCTCAAATTGGCTGCAGAGCTCTTACCTATCTTTAGGCCTGCTGGAGTGATCAGGAGGGATTTTAAATTGGTGACCTCTGTTTTCCTCAGCCTGGTGTATGCAATTTGGCAAATTGTCACAGGGCTTCCCTGAAAGCTCGCCTTCCCTAGAATTTTTCAGTCATTTGAGGAAAAGGTTAGGACAGTATCTCTGGATGATGGTAATTAATTCCCACTTAATATGATTCAATTTTTAGTCTAGTGGAAGAACTTATACACACATCTTCAAGTTTGAAATCCTCCTACAAACTGAAAATATTTCCCATTGAAAGATCCAGCAAAAAATTCTCACTCTATTCAGGTGATTTTATCAAAACATCTTGCAATTCTGAAGTAATAACTGTTTTCACCATATATTTCTCTATCTACATATTTTTCTAGCTTGTTTACTACTGGTGATGTGTTGCCTTTCTTTTTGCTGCTTATGTAGCTGACTATAAAAGCAGCTTTGTCTTAAAAGGGAACAAAATATAAAGTCTACATTCCTTGTAAACGCATGCCCCAGGTGTGTGGGATTCATGGCTTGTGAATGGCGACGTTATGGATGGAGCTCCCTGCTGAAGTACTGGCACAACATAGTTAATAAATTCAGCTAACTTTCAGATGTGACATCTGAACACTATAAAATCATAGCTTAAGCCAAGAATTACTGGGAACTGTGTATAGCCCTATTTGTTAGGCATTTCTAAATTATTTTAAAGTTATAAAAATATGAAATATTTGCTTTCTCATTTTTTCCAGAACATTAGAGACAGTGTACCCATACTACATCAAGGCTCCTAGTGATTCTCTGGCAAAACCCATAAAGCAGCTATTGACAGGTATGTGTCCAGACCAGAGGAAACAGCTATGGTTGAAGGAAGTGCAACACAGCACTCACAGTTGCACATTCACTGGGATGTTATGGGGAGCCTCAGTCTGAAATGCACTTATAATAGTTTCTACTTGGTGCCGGCAAGCATGGGGAGAGATGAGGTAATACAGTATAAGGCAGAAAATGCATCTGGATGTATTTTAGCTTTGTAGTTAAGAGTAAGAAGTCTTAGAGATGAAGTGCAGCTCCTTTCCTTCAAGTCTGCTTTCAGGAACTGCTCTGTTTTCTGAGTAAGTGATGAAAAGTCTGCATCTCTGGGCTACCTTACCACAGTCATTACCACTTCATGTCTGCAAATGTAGCTCCTCAGCTTAAATAATTCCCCTAAATGATTTTTTTGTTTGTTTGTTAGCTATTCCTTCCTTATTGACTACAAAGAATCCAGTTTAGATAAATCATTGTATTTCACAGTTCTACAGAGTTCATGCATGTGAAAAACCCATTGGCTTGGAAGAATAGGAGCAAGTCTTTCTCTAAGAACACTTTGCTCAACAGAGGTTAAATTTGGTGCTCAGGTGCAGTAGTACTATGTAGTACATTACTGTGTAGTACATTACTGTTCAAGGTTCTGTCAGCATGATTAAATTCATTAGGAAGAGTAATTCTTGAGGTTGAACCTAGCTCTGTGAGTAGCAATAAGAGCGCTTCATTGTCGCTGGTCAGGTCCTGTCCTAAAGAGCTCTTAACTTGAGATGCCTCAAGAAGGCTTCAATGTATGCACCGCTAATGCACATTCCCCAGAAATCAGAAGCTCCAGAGTTCACCACCTGTCTGTGTGATCAGTATGCATAATAGGATAGTATGTGTGCTTTTCTTGATATGAGAGAATAGTGTCTTTTATACCAAGATGTAAATGATTTACAGTAGTAGCTTCACTTTGACATACAGAAGCTGACCACTGTTCCTCCAAGTTAAATGTGTCTTTTTACGCCTTAAGTGCAGACATGCTGACTACCATTCATTCTTTGAAATTATTTTACAGTTGTCCATAAGAAAATGGAGGTGATACTAATCTTTTTGTTTATTTAATGGACATTCAGATGAGATTTGCAGAAGGAAAACCATAGAAGTCTAGGTATTGTACTTTTTTACAGGAACAATGTAAATGGATTTTAGAAGAATTATAATGAACCTATACTCTGATGTTGCTTAGTCATTTTATCATGCAGATGTTTGAAGCATCTGGCTCAAAACATTTTGACTTTTGCAATTCTTTGAGTATATATTAACATTTCTTTTTTTCAATAGACTGCAGATGGGAAAACATTACTGTTTCCTTGGTCAAAAATGTGTCTGATGAGGGAGTTCGTGAGTGGTGGGTTTTGAATCAGCTTGGAAAAAGATACAAAACATCTGAAGAGAGTCTTGAACTCTTCATATTCAGTGATAAAGTCAGTCCACCAAGCCTTGGATTCTTGGCTGGTTATGGGTAAGAAGGAATATTTGCATAAAATTAAAATAATATAGAGATAGATACCAATAGAGGTGACCTTATTTGCTGGTTGGAAGGGGTTATTTATTTCTTTCTTGTTGTTGTAGTGTTTGAACATCACATTTTGAAAAGGGGTCTATTAATGTTATCTATAGAAAGACTCATATTTGTAAGGAATGACCTGATCTACAGTGGGAAAAAAGGCAGAATCACCCTTTGCACCAATTTCTTATTGAAGTAATGCAAAATATATTAGCTTAGCTACAGGTCAAGTTCTGCCCAAGGCCTGCCCAGTTTTAGTGACCTTACCAGTCTTGTAGCCAGGACTCTGGGTGTGAAACAGTTATGAAGTACATCTCCACAGACAGAGAAAGGCAGAAGAGTATGCCTTCCCAGGAGATAATGCCCTTCTGGCATGATTTTGGAGAACTCCTCATAGGAGGATTATCAGGGGAGGACAAGTAAACATAGTCTGCCACAGTTACACATACTTCAATAACAAAAAATATTATGTATGAAACCTGACAGATAATTTGACTTTAGCAGCCAACAGTTATCAGATTTCCTATTCTGACTTCCAAGCTCTAGCAGACAGGACATGAGACCATCAGTAACTGGGGTTAAACCATTTAAGTCAGCAGACTCAGCTATTTATATTCCCAGATTTCTGTGGTATTTGAATAGACCTTATTGTCCTTTATCTTGCAGCACAACAGAAACAAGATCCTAATTAGAAATTATGGTCCACTCAAGCTGACAGTCTACACTTAGCCATGTAGATGAGCTTCCTCATACTTGGCTGACCTTTTTCAAGTCATGATTTGAACTCTTTCCTTTCTTTCTTTTCAGCATCATGGGACTATATGCCTCAGTTGTCCTGGTGATAGGAAAGTTTGTCCGTGAATTTTTCAGTGGGATCTCTCACTCCATCATGTTTGAGGAGCTACCCAACGTAGACCGAATCTTGAAGTTGTGTACTGACATTTTCTTAGTGCGAGAGACTGGAGAACTGGAACTAGAAGAAGACCTGTATGCCAAACTAATATTCCTGTATCGCTCACCAGAGACTATGATCAAGTGGACTAGGGAAAAAACTAATTGATCTCTGGTGTCACACCACGAATCAAGTTGCTTTCATCTGAATTTTAAAGGTGGGGAAAAAAAAAAAAAAGGCAAAAAAATAAAAAAAGCACAATATTCTCTTAAGAGCTAAGCCTTTTATAGTTAGGTAGCAATGATTTTTCACTGAAGGAGTCCTGGAAGCTACGGCCTTAGGAATCTATGCTGCCTTTCAAATTAAGGATCAATAGTGAAGAAGGTTGGATGATTTGTTGTTTTTAATGTGCCACTCCTCTACAATCTGGGGACTGCTTTGTAATTTAATCAACAAAAAGTTTGCATCTTTGTCTGGCTAATTTAATTTTCCAGGCAATCATTACAACTTAAAGAGAAAAGAAAGGAGTGAACCCACAGGTGACTCCAGTGTACCTTCTTAACCCTTTCTGGAGCCATACAGATTGGATTGTGCAATATGCTGTTGTACATCACTGACTTTCAAGCTACAGTAATGGGACGCTGACTAGCCTTCAGGACACCCAAGACCCAGAGCCGCAGTGGGAACTGAAGACATTCTAGCCATACCCATTTGTAGGAATCAGAGGTTTTGATGTACAAAGGACACTGTGGACAAGCCTCTGTTAGCAAAAAGAAAACAATAACAATCTCTTTGAATGCCTTATTTTATTTGTACAGCCACAGAAGACATTTCAACCAAACATCAATGACTTTTCTCAGGAAAAAAAAGCAACTGAAACTTGACACTTCGTCAAGGTTAACTAATGGCTAGAATAATTATGGTGAATTATTGGGGTGTTCTGCTGGGCCATTCTCTTCAAAGTCACTGCTTTCCATTAGGTTAGAAAAGAAAGTGAATTCAATGACCTAAGGAGCTACTCCATTTCTTATAACCCTTTAAAGACTGAATAGTGTGTGCTTCTCTCTGCTCCCCATGACATGCTTTTTCCCATTTCGATGATTTAAGGCAACTGTTGTTTTGCTGTTAGCTGATATTCTTCTTCCAATGTTTCAGGTATACAAAAATGTTTACATATTCTAAGTCACATTTTTACATCTGAGACGGGGTTTTTTTAAGTTCCCAAATATAAACATACATATGAGCTTGAAAAATGGCCTTTTTCTTAAATTCCTATTATTAGTGAGACAAATGGCTCATTAGAGAACATTGTAGCATGCAAATTTACAATTGCAATGTAGGTTTCATTCCATGTTAAAAAATTATTGAGAAAAAAAATCATTGAGTGGGTAGGGTATGTTAAAAGGGTATGCTGTGTAGTTTTGATTCAGTAATGACTTAAAATAAAGCACATGTTGCAAAGTCATTTTAGAAGTATTTTTTCCTCTGCCTTTTTACATGAAATGGGAAAAGTCTGACATTCTTCTAACTCTGTGACAAATAAATCTCTTTCTTGTAGTTAGCTGCTATTTATTATATGAATGATTAGTTAATCACCGGGAAAAAAAAAAAACTAATACATAATTTACTGGCACATCTTACTGAAGAACTTCATCAAACAGGACAATTAAACGAAGTTGCAACATACTCTGCTGAGTGCTTCCATGACAAATGCTGTCACATCCATTCTATACTGTGAAAACTAACATTTTGAGCACCATGAAGTGCACAAAATAAAAATCGCTTAATCGTATTGTAACAATAAAATCATTTGGTGACTGGAACTTACTAGAAGACAACCTGTTTTCCTCCAAAGTGTAATGGAAAGGTGGCTGCTCATACAGCCAGGCAGCATTCCTCAGTGGAGAGTTTTGCTCCATTTCTTCCATAGGACCTGTAAGTCAAAATCAAAACATACAGGATCCAACAGGGATGCTAAAATGTCCTTTTTGGTTAGATGGATCCTCACCTGGGTGTTCAGTGATTTTAAGGAAAGCAGCACTGGAAGGAGAAATGTGAAGGGTGTAATGTGTTTCTAAAGGTACCAGCCAGCAGAAACATGCTGGCCATAGTTGGTCCTGGCTCCCTTCCTGGTTCTTTCTCTTTAACTTCCTTTCTGGTGAGAACAACCTATCCGCAGAATGAGCTGTACAGTTACTTGGGCTTCGCAGAAATGTGCTGCTCTTGCTTTCATGATTGACCAAACTTTGACAATAAAAGGATTCTTCTGTTGGGTTTTTTTTTTTTTTTTTTTTTAAACAACCTATAGACAAATTGGCGCCATGGACTGGATAGCTAAGTAACTACACAGGTAAAGAGCGTGCTGCTGATGGCCATCCTTTGAGTCCAACTGTCCACATAAAGTCAAACTGGCAGCCAGTTTCTGGTGGCATTCTTCAGGGAATCAGTATTGGGTCCAGTACCATTTGGTGTGTTTACTAACAACCTGAAGGACATGACAGTGCACTTTCATCAAGTTTGTGGACCACACCAAATCTAGGGTTGGGGAGGTTTGTGATAACATTATGTCAGCTGCCCTCCTGGCACCTGGGCTGGGCAGTTGTTACTGGGAGGGCAGGAATGTCTTTCAGGGTCAACTTCAAGGTGCTGGAGAAATTAGCTGCCATGTACTTAATGAAATTCAACCAAGACAAATGCAGTGTCCTGCATCTGAGGCAGTCCAACCCCATACAGCAATTTGGACAAGGTGGGTGGCTAGGGAACAGCTTTACAACAAAAGTCAGGGCTGGGGCTTGGGAGTTGCACATGCATCAGCAGTGTGCCCTTGAGGCAAAGAAAACCAACAGCATACTGGGCTGCATTTACAAAAGCACAGCTGGAAGTAAGGGAATTTTTTAGTCCTCTCTATTCAGCCCTTGTGAGACCACACCTGGAGAACTACATACAGGTTTGGGGTCTACAGTGAAAGACAGACAAGGACATACTGGGCTGAGTCTTGCAGAGGGCTGGAGGACACGATGTGTGAGAAGGGGCTAAGGGAACTGAACTTGTTCAGCTTGCAAAAAGATGTCCAAGGGGAGAGCATACTGGTGTCTGCAGCTACTTAATGGCAAGGTGCAGAAAAGGTGGAGCCCAGCTCTGCAGAGCTGCACAATAAATCAAGAGGCAACAAACACAAGTTGCAACAAGGAAGAGTCTGATTAAATATAAAGAAAATTGTTTTCACCATGAGGGTAGTCAAACTGGACAGGCCTTGAGCAACCTGTTGTAACTGGCCATGCTTTGCAAGGGAGGTTTGCCCTGAAGCCTCACGAGTTCCCTTACAACCTGAATTATGGCACAGTATTGGGATTCTTCCAGAGACACTGTAGCTTACCAATGCCAGTGTACTGGCTGCTGTAACAACCGCCTCCAAAATGACAGAAAAAAGTCACTTGGTCCAAGGCAACAGTATAGTTAGAATCATAGAATAGTTAGGGTTGGAAAGGACCTTAAGATCATCAAGATCCAACCCCCCTGCCATGGGCAGGGACACCTCGCTCTAAACCATATCACCCAAGGCCTCGTCCAACCTGGCCTTGAACACCACCAGGGATGGAGCATTCACAACCTCCCTGGGCAACCTATTCCAGTGCCTCACCACCCTAACAGGAAAGAATTTCCTCCTTATATCCAATCTAAACTTCCCCTATTTAAGTTTGAACCCATTACCCCTTGTCCTGTCAGTGCAGTCCTTAATGACGAGTCCCTCCCCAGCAGCCCTATATGCCCCCTTCAGATACTGGAAGGCTGCTATGAGGTCTCCACGCAGCCTTCTCTTCTCCAGGCTGAACAGCCCCAACCTTCTCAGCTTATCTTCATATGAGAGTGCTCCAGTCCCCTGATCATTCTCGTGGCCCTCCTCTGGACTTGTTCCAACAGATCCATGTTCTTTTTATGTTGAGAAATACTTGTGCCTACAGACATACTTTAGTAAGCCCCTGTGTCCAGTTTTTCAGAGCTGAGCACTGCCAGGGAAAGGTTCTGATTTCCCTCTTCCACTCTTGCAATCAAGAAATTATGGCTCAAAGGTGATAATATAAGCCCTTACCTATACTGAATTGGATGGATGGGATTAAATGTCCTTTTAGAAAGTTGCCAGCTCAAAATTTTAAAAAAGCCCAGATCCTTGTGGTTATATTTTCCCAGGTTTTAGGACTTGTTCCTGGTTTGCTCAATACAGGAGCAGCTCTCCAATGGAGTAAGTCTAGGTAAGAAAAGAGGAAACAGCCTTAAAATAAAAAACATTTTTTTATATAAACATCAGCAGTTTTACTTTCCTTACAGGACTACGTGATACTTTAGTGTTTCCAAAGCTTTTCCAAAGCTGTGCTTTGGAAAGAAGGTTTAGACTGGACATTAGGAAGCATTTCTTTACCAAGACGGTGTCAAACCCTGGAACAGGTTTCCTGGAGAGGTGGTCAAGGCCCCAGGCTTGTCAGTGTTTAAGAGGCATTTGGTCAATGCCCTTAATAACATGCTTGCTTTAATTTGATCAGACCTGAATTGGTCACACAGACTAGATTATCGCTATAGGTCCCTTCTAGCTAAAACAGTTATATCCTGTTACGTTCTTCCAGCAATAAAAAAAAATCATATCTGTTCCCAATTACCATTCCCTCTTGAACTACACTACCTGAAAATGGACTCCTCTGCAGTTTCTGCCTCAGTTTCACTCCTGTATAGGAAAAAGGCACACAGCTCAGTGGCCAGGGGAGAATCATAGAATGGTTTGGGTTGGAAGGGACCTTAAGATCATCCAGTTCCAACCCCCTGCCATGGGCAGGGACACCTTCCACCAGACCAGGTTGCTCAAAGCCCCGTCTGACCTGGCCTTGAACACTGCCAGGGATAGAGCACCCACAGCCTCTCTGGGCAACCTGTGCCAGTGCCTCACCACCCTCAAAGGGAAGAACTTCTTAATATCCAATATGAATTTACCCTCTTTCTGCTTAAAGCCATTCCCTCTTCTCCTGTCACTCTTTGCTCCTATAAAAAGTCCCTCTCCGGCTTCCTTTAGACCTGAACACCGCTTTCTGTTTCCTCACTTCACTTTCCCACAGAAATTTACTTTTTAAACTGAAGCAGCTGCTAGTTTTTTGTTTAGGTTTTTTGGTGGTTTTTTTTTAACCTAATTTTCTGGTGTGGTAAAAGGTGAGGTGATACTTTATTTATTTTTCTGTAAGAGGCAGCACTCATTAGCCAGGAGGGTGAAAGACCATCTTGGCTGTCAGCACCACATTGACAGAAAACACATTCTCATCCTGACCCTCTTCTAGAGAAGCCAGGTGGTTCCTGCTGCATCAAACACTAAATTGAAGATGACCCAGTTTTCTGTAGCCTCATGTTTGACAGCACTGACTCACTCACATTGCTAAGCTTTCATTTTTTCCACTACACTGTGGAAATCATGTTTTGGTTACAACAGTTCTTATGGCAACCGTGTGGCAGTGGTGAGCACCACCTTGCACTTCCCTCAGTGATCCCCGTTGCTGAACGCTGGGTCTAGGCCATTTATTCCTGTCCAGCTGACCTGTGCAACACTGCTTTAATAGGCAAGGCAGAGCAGGGACATCTATATGAAGCCTGTAAGCATCTGATTTTCACTGAAAAAAATCCTGGCAAAACAAAACAAAACAAAAACCAAACAAACACAAAGCAAACCCAACCAACCAAAGAACCACCACCTTCACTTAGCAAAAGGTTTTTCTTAAAGAATGGAGGAATAGGATCGAATTCATGGAAGGAGTAATGGCTAGGCAGGCTTCTCCAGGCAGATTAAGCCTGCGTTCCCAAGACACGGATTAAATTGTTGTGTACCTAAAATTCACATTTATATTGGCCACTCCTTTAGCCATTCAAAGAGACAAAACAAAACCCCTAATCTGTTTACTTTTTTCCTCTTACTACAACATAGCAGAATCACCACCAGCATTTGTTCCCCCAGACCACAGGGGATAAAAGAAACCTGGTTTTCCTTCCCAGCCTATGAATGCATTTACTTCCTTGTTAGGCCCATCAATGGTCCTGATGTAACTTCAGTAACAGGAGGAGAAGCAGTGTTCAGCCGCAGTTTGTTTTCCACAGCTCTATTTAGAAATATGTGTGCTTACACATAGATATCCCATGGGGTGGTATTTAGAATTCGTGTGCATGGCTTAGTGCTGGATTTGGCAGCGCTAGGTTAACTGTTGGACTTGATCTGAAAGGTTCTTCCCAACCTAAAAGATGCTGTGATTCTCTGATTCTATGTGCTGCATAAAGAGAAAGCCACACAAGTGGTCACCAAACACCTTTGCTTGTCTCTCCCAGCGTGAGAGGCACCTTCTAAGTCCAGTTGCACTGACTGCGATTTGGAGCTGTTATTAAAACAGAATTCTAATAAAAATAATCTTTTTTTGCTATGGAAAAGACTAGTTATCTAGCTGGACAATGACTGACCAGGGCACCTGCAGACTTTCCTCTATCAAGAATAACTGGGGGATTATTCACCATGTTCTCCCTCATCAGTATGCAGAAATAGCCTATATGCTTATGATCAGCAAAATGCAAGAAATGAAAATCCCAACCCTGGCCCTGGCGAGGCTCTGAACTAACCAGATCATGAGCCCAAGCCAGGGCTGGTTATCTGAAAGGAGATAGGTCACACACAGAGTTTAGATGTATTATGACCATATCTTCCTGCTTCCCCTTACTCGTAACATCACATGTAGTCCTTTCATTTCCTCCTTCTGCTCCTTTTTCATCACCTTCAGCACCACTAGATATGGGGTACCACAACTGAATACATGAGGATCTCCTGCTAGCATAAACCTCTCAGTGCTATGGGTGCAACAACAGCCTTCAAAAGCTTTGATGGGATGGTAAGATTTTTCAGAGGGAATCTAGTCTTACTGTGAGGAATGTAACACCTTCACAGGGCCTGAGGCAGCCCCGCTGTGCTACTTTGCTGGATGCCACCTAATGCCTGCTACGCCAGCAGTGTGTACATCAAACACAGGGACACTGAGCATCTGTGCATGTGGGTGTACGTATGTGTGTATATGTGTGTTTTCTTTCTCAGTCACACAGGACTGCAGCATTAGCTCTCATCAATTTTTCAAGCCGCTGCCTCCTGCAGCCTGTGCTGGGGCGGAAGAGGGAGCTGCCAGCAGACACAGACTCATGACGCTGTGACCATCAGACTCCCGTAACAAACATCCAGGGAAAGCACATTTTTAATGTGTGGCAGCC